ATAATCACGTTTCACTGTAAATGTACTGTGGAGAAAAGGTCCAAACTGAGACTTAAAAGAACAAATTTCTTACCCGAAACTTTATTTAAGTTTCTTTTTTTATATATATATATATATATATATATATATATATGTTACAATTTGGCCCTATTATGGCGTAGCATCAATACATATTTACATTGTTTTATTTACATCGGTAGAGAAAACAATTTAAATGACTCAGTAGCTTTCAGAATAGTTTAGATTTGCCTATATCATTCAACATTTACATTCCGCTATGGTGCAGTAGTGCACCTTTAAAGACCCTTTGTACTTACTTCACACATAATTGATTATACTAATAAGAATCAAGCTCAAATGAACTTTAATGACAGTCTAAGCTATCAGGGCCAGTTGTTTGATCCTCTGAATCAGGTCTTCAGCGTGTCAGCCGCTGCCGATGCGTCTCCATTATCAAGTCACAGGATAATCTGACAGCGAAGGTTAGGACCTGAATGGGGTTCAAAGGCTTACAGGAAACCTGAGTGCAGCCTTCTCATCCTCCTGTCTCACGTTCTCCCTTAAAGACGGTTTACTTCTCCCGCATCACTTTTTCTTTCTTTCCATCGTCGGCTTCTGCAGTACAATTTCCATACCTTCCCCAAGAGCAAAAGATAAAAACAATATGAAGGAACATTCTTGATCAAAGTCTTGATCTTGTAAACCGTTAGATTAGCTTTGCACACATCTAAAATCTAAATAGTTTGTGACGACTGAAGAATGAGAATTTTATAGCAGGGAAAGCCTTCTCCTGGGAATTAGAGGAGCTAGGGTTATGATTCCACCAAAGTTTGAAGCAGCCAGGGCAAAAATAGTTGAGAAACACAGCTACAGGTTTTAAGCATGACAGCTAATGAGATCCAGACTGGTGTGTTCGGGCCAGACCCATTTCCCAAAACTCAAAGTGAGCAGAACAGCTTGTCATTACAATGACTTTTGTGTGTAACTCAGCCTCGACTTTTGACTTGGTTTTGATTCTTGCTAATTAAACTGTCGTCCTTTTGTGCTAACTGCCTCTGCATGACTTAGACTAATTAATTAGATGAACTGGAATTGAATAGACTATTATTGGTTTGCATTACTGAAGAGCCACCAGATATCTTTTGTTGGCATTCCTCGTCATATAAATAAAACTTAACTGAATCTGTGAAGTATAGGAAGTGTTGCTTTGAACATAAAACTCACCTGCACACCGCTAGTCGGCTATCAAATAGAAATATAATTTAGTCTGCATGTGGAATGAAACACTTTTGGCTTGCGCCAGCAGAAGAAGCACTGATGTCTGAAACCGAATCACTGTTGATGATTTTGTTTCTTAGCCATATCGTGGTTGCCAATTCCCCCCCCCCCACCTCACTCTCTGTGATCAGTGATCTCATGCAATCTTTATTATGTGACATACCTGCTTCTGTGTTAGTGTGTGTGCGTGTGTGTCTCCAAAGTCACTGATAGAGCCTGTTGGCTTTGTTCAGCTGATATCCTTTGTCAGTCTTGTGTAGATGAGTGCATCTGCTGAAAGCGTGTTGTCTGTGATTGACAGGCAAAGGAAGAAACTCTCACCCGTGTCTCTCACTCACTCTCTCCCATATGTCTCTTTTTTTGTCTTCATGCCATCTCTCGGTCTCTCTTCATCTTAACTTTCTCCTTTGTTTCCATAAATGTGACTCATTTTCTCATTTCCAGCTAACTGGTCCCGGTGGTCGTCTTTCTTTGTGCTGAATTCAGAGATGTTTCACACACAGGCTGGACTAGAGAGGCATAGTATACAAGTCAAATCGACATCTTTGTTTAACTCTGTTAAACCACCCTCTGCACCTTTTCTCTGGAGGACATATAATCCCCGCTTGTAGTTAGGTGATACCAGAAGTTGTTGACAGCACAACCTGTAGAATGTTTGGAGTTTAGTTATGGCTGCTTGCTCTGGAGGTGTGTCATAGATTTCCGCTTAGTTCTTATGGAAAGTGAAGGCTATTAGTCCATCCAGTAAGCCGAGATAAAACTCTAAGTGACTTAGCTTATCAAAAGGCTTCAATAGATAAAACTTCTATTTTCATTGATATACATTACAGTTAATGCCAGGTTAATGATTTTGAATAGTTTTGGTGTTCTCTTCCGCCTGCTCTCTGCCGACTAACTGTTAACTTCTGACATGAGCCTGGACGATAGATATGGTTTGTTGGTTGTAGGACAGGCTTGGGTGGGGTTGACCCTTTGTGATATATTTAGAGGAGCCCTCGATTAATGTTTTATCTATGCTGCGTAGGAAGAACACAGGGCAGTCATTAAACATTCATATCTGCCACTGAGATGACCTCCTGGAATATCAGCCCATCATCAATGAATTAACATCAGCCCATCATCAATGACCTTAAGTCAGACGATCCTCGAAGAATTCACAGTCATGTATCATGGGGAATCGCACTTAATACACGTAGATCCATATTTCAGACTTTTTTCATTTCCTGGTTTAATTTTTGGGCTGTTGAATAGCAGATATTGATACTATTTAAAAAATGGTTATCAGCAGTGACAGTAGAACAGCGAGACAGATTAGACATTAGAGGAAAACAGCAGTACCTACTGCAGTTACTGATTTAATCATGCATTCCACGTTTGAGCTGGTCGTTTCCTTAAATGTGCAGGTTACCTCTGTTGAGGATTGTCAGTGAGTGCACAAGTTTTGCAAATCAATGGCTTAGAACTATTTGAATCCCTTCCCTATTTAAACTATATAACTTTACAACATGAATTCTAAAACTGCCTTTTGCAGCAGAATACTTGAGGTCTGGTAATGAATCAAAGGCATACCCTTAAAAATGCCGGATGTATGAGCTTAATATAATTGATCAGTCTCAGTTGTGGTCCGAGCTGTTACAGTGATGTGTGTGTTTTGGCTCAGTGTGGCATTGCCTCTCAGACACAGTTTAGCAACAGCTCAGCCAGCTTGCATTATTTATACACCAGAAGATAGTGTTACGCCGAGGGTGTACAGCAGGTATATTAAGGTTGCCTTTTCAGCTATTTGAGGAAATACCCGCCCTGACCGCCGATACTCATGCGCACATACAGTTGACCACCATCTGCTGTCGCATCAGCACCGCGTAGATGATGAGGAGTCGAGCTGTGCTGAACGTGTGCACGAACGCCTCACTGAGAGGAGAGAAATCCAGGAGGTTGCAGGAGGTCACAAAGGCAAGGTGACGTGGATGTGGGAGGATACGAGTAGAAACGCAACACACGTGCACGGTGAGACTCACACCAGAGCACCGACTCTCCTTGTTGGGGGGAAGTGCTGCCAAAGGTGGTGCTGCAGCCAAGATGAGGATCCACCGCTGTGCTCACAGGACGAACTAACAATGGAGGACCCACAAAGGACTACAACAACTCTGTCATTGGGATAGCAGGGTCATTTATTCATCGTGTGACCCTGGAAAGTTACTTACAAAACTATGAAAAGGGAGCAGATCAGGAACTTACTGTGGATACTACTTTTCTTTTTTAACTGTCAGTGAGGAAAAACTCTGCGCAAGGACCAACAGGTTTCTGAAACTAACAAACACTGTACCAGTAAGATAGTTTTTATTTTTCACCTGAAACATTTAGATTTCAACAGGTGTCTGCTTTTTAAAAACTCCATTGGAAGCTTTCTGTCTGTTTTCACATGCAAACTACAGCTCTTTTTCTGAGGATTGGAGACATTCTGTAATGTGAGCGAGCACCAATGGCTGAGATTCCGACTCCATTACTAGATCGTATTTTGGAGGACTGGGGTTTGTGGTTTTCGGTGTGAATTTTAGAACAACTGAGAGAGTGCACTTAAGTGCGGGTTGTGAGGTGTCACGGAGGCAGAACAGATACGGGGAAGGAGAGAAGACATGAGAGATACTGGGAATAAGAAGATGCTGCTTCTGTCGGAACGCTTATTTTCAAGCCTGTACCTACTATGCCATAATCATAGACCTACTTTAGCTCACTTGTGGAAACTTTCTCTTCTTGTTTAGAATGATCTAAGTCAGCATACACCATGCCACCCAAAAAAGGTGACAAGTCAGCTGCCAAGAAAGGCAAGACCGAGGAACCAAAGAAGGGAGGAAAGGATGATAAAAAAGGAGGGAAAGATGACAAGAAAGGTGGAAAGAAGTCAGAGGAGCCACCAGCAAAGGGGAAGGGTAAGGATGATGGGAAGAAGGGAAAAGGAAAGAAACCTGTCAGTGAGTCTGAGGAGGGGTCAGAGGAAGAAGAGGAGGAGGTGCAGACTGAAGATGATGAAATTGATGAAAGTGAGGAAGAGGTCGTAAGCAAGAAGGCTGCACAGTCAGATAAAGGAAAGGGGAAGGCAGCTCTGAAAGGTGCATCTAAAGCCATGGCAATGAAGGGTCTGAAGCCAAAACGCTCACCTGCTAATGATGAGGAGGAGGAGAAGGGGAAGGCTCAAGCAAAGAAAGGCATGGGTGCGGTAAATCTAAAAAAGATGAGTGATGTCCACATCAAAGGAGCCTCCAAGGCAATGATGGGTTTTGCTGCAGAGGGACAGAAGAAGAATTTAGGGGCAACTAAAGTACAGAAGACAGCAGATGCAAAATCTCACCTCAAGGGAGCCTCCAAAGCCCTCACTGGTCTCACTGGAAAAGCATCACCGTTTAGCTTGGCCTCTAAGCAACAAGAAAAAGCAAAGCCAAAGCGAAACCTTAAAAGCACATCCCGTCTTTTCCTGCGTCTTTCTAAAAAGAAGAAACCTCCCGCTGATGGTAAACCACTTCTTGGAACCAGCAAGCTTTTCGCTGGCTTTGGGGGAAAATCAGGCCCTACTGACAAAAAGATTGGTTTATCTGGCTTTAGTCTGTTTAATAAAAAGGAGGAGACTCCAAAGGAAACAGCGCCACCCAAAAAGACGATCAATTTATCCAGTTTAGGAGGTAAGGGGAAAATGGCAACAGAAGCGAAGGGACTGGGAGGGAAGTTCAAAGGCATGTTTGGAAAAAAGAAAACAGGACAAGTGTTCAAGACCAAAAGCTGGATGATAGGAAGGATGGCAGCAGCTGCTAACTGGTTGACAGGGAGGTTCCTGACCTCTAAAAGCCATGGGTCACTGGCTGGAAGACGAGGGAGAAAGAACTTATCATTTGCTAGCAGAGACACTAGAGGGAGACAAACTCAATACTACAATGCTGATTGTGAGTATGATGATGAGTATGGATATGAGGATGATTACCATGACAGACTGGATCAGAGAAACTTTCAAAGACATCCAGTGACCTATGAACCATATGACCCTTATGAAGAGGAAATAGACTACGATGACGAAGAGTGGGAGGATGAATATGGTTACTATGACGATGAGGGAAACTTCTATTATGATGATGAGCTTTATTATGATGATGTTGATTATTACAGTTACCCTGATGACTATCATGATGATGAATATGAAGATTACTATGGTGATGAAGGAGTAGAGTACTACTACGGTGAAGATGGAATGCTGTATGCAATAGAGCCGGAGCAATTTGGTTACTATGGAGATCCAATGTATGGTGTGTATGACCCATCTGAATTCTGTGATGGTTATTTTGACCACAATTTGGCCTCAAACTATGGTGTATCAGACCTTTATGGCATGATGGCAGCCAGTTACCCTCCTGTCTCAGCTGTACATAATGGCTCTATGCCATTTGCACAACCTACCCCAAACTATTACCCATATCTGCAAAATGTCCCCATGAATGCTGGGCTGGATCCAGCAGACACAGGACAGCTGTATGGACAGGAACAGCTTTATATTCCAGTTGAGCCCTTCTCATCTGAGCAGTTCAGGGTCCCTCGGCCCCAGGTTATGCTTTTTGGAAAAGACAGACTGGATGTGGAAACCTTACCACCACCTCCTCTTAATTCTCAATTTTCCCCTCCAACAATCCCTCCTTCTTACCCCGCTGTCACCATCAACAATCAGGAAATGATTTCAGACACAGTGTTTGAACAACCCATGCTGGCATATCTTCCAACACAGCCTTCTTACATTAATTTTACAAACGAACAAAACGCTTCCATTTCTCCTGGACATGTCCCATTAACAACTGCTGTCAACATGAATCAGGGAAACTTTCCTTCTGCGCAGCCAGCTTACCTTCCTCTCACTGTTCCTGCAAATCACTTATCTTCCTCCCCTCTGCCGCCTCAGTTTTCTACCCAGATATACCAACCACCCCTCCCTCAAGACCACCAGATATTTCAGGTGCACCAAATGTCCCCAGTGGCCTCACCATTACAGCCATTGATGCATTCACCACTTCATTCACCAGTGTCCTCACCCAGGCCAGTAAGGAGAATGAGTCCCTTTCCATCTCCACAGCTGTCACTGAGGCCAGGAATAGCTGCTGCAATGGGGCCTCAGTCATACTTTTCACCCCACACCAGTGACTTTCAATCGAGCATCCAACTAGACCCTCACCTCTCTCCACGCTTACATAGTCGGGGACTCGCACGTCATGCCTCAATGGCAAGCCAAATGCCCACCTCTCCTGTTGACAGAAGGAGACCACTAAGTCCCCCTCTGTCTCCTCCGCATCACAGGAGAGGAGTTTCAACAAGGGCACAGCCATCCCTGACACGAGGAAGGGGAGGGATGGGCTTACGCAGGGCTCCTTCATCTGTTAGACCCCAGTCCCCACTTTCTAGCCCATTGGCGTCACCTCAGGAATCACTAAGGAAGAGACAAAGTCCTCCACCTTCACCAAGACTATCTTTCAGACAACAACCGCCACCAGATGCTGTCCCGCTGAGACCTACCAGACCAAATTTGTTCAAAGAAAGAAAACAACCATCCATGATGAGACGTTCTCCTTCTCCCCCCCTGCCAACACCACGTGGACAACATGAAAGATCCCAGTCTCCATCCCATTCCTTTCGCCCTGCCTCTCCCCGTCGTCCTCCTTCTCCTTCACCGTCACGTGTTACTGCTCGACCCCTTCCCACCCGCTCTTCGACACGCAGGCTGAGAGGTAGCCCTGGTGGCCGAAGCCAGGTCCCCATGGGAGCTGTAAAACCCTCACCAGCTAACCCATATTTACAAAGGCGTAGTAGGCATGGGCCCCCTGTCACTCAACAGGTGGCTCCATTTAGGTCCTCCATACACAGTGGCTCTGCCTCTCCATCTGGACAAATAGGGGCTGTGGCGGGAACTCCAGTGTTATGCAGAGCAGGATCCCGTCCAACAGGGTTAAGGGAAGCCAAGCGAATTAGTTCAGCCCAAGGAGGCTTTCATAGACCTGTAGGTCGAGGGCAACCTCTAGTCCGAATGCCAAGAAAACAACCGTCTCTACAGTCAAGGCAATCATTTAGAGCACCCTCTGCGGTATCCCCTCTACCTCCACAACAATCTTTGAAACAGAGTGGCCCTCGTTCTCCTCAGCCCACGATACGTAGACTCCAGAGTAGACCTCCATCTCCACAACCACTACATCGTGCATCTCCTCTGCCCCGTTCTGCCTCTCCGATGCACCATCAATCTCGTCAATCCTCTCCCTTACCTCAGAGAGCAATGACTCCCCACATTCTGGGACAAACATCTTTTCATCATCCTGTGCCCCATGCTAGTTTTCCTCCTGGTGTTCTCCCACCATCACAGAGCATTTCACAGTATGACTACACACTGAGCGAACCTGGCCCAAGCCCAATGCTTACAAATGCTTTTCCCGGTCATCAGGCTATAGGTGCTAACTTTCCCTCTGTTGCTCTTCCTTCTTCAATCCCATATTCCTCAGGTGCTTATGCTTCTCATTTACAAAGACAAAATTCCTCTCATTTGCAGCATGATGCCTTCTCCCAAAAACTCCCCCAGCAAGTACTATCATCTCCAATTCCTGGATATACACCACAGAATCCTTATCTACACAATACTGGCAACACCACACCATTACAGAGGAGTCCTTCGCCTATGCCTGGTGGACAAGTAGAGATACCAGTTAATGCACAGGAGACTCAATTGGTGAACCCATATGCCACTCCACATCTATCCAATGCTTTGTATCAGAACTCTCAACTACGCAGTGCCTCCTATTCATCTCCCCTACAACGCAATGCTAACCTATACACAACTGTCCTGTCTCCCCCTATGGTTGCAACTCCTATTGCCCCTTCTGTTATCTCTTCTCCAAACTTGTCCTCTGCTATGCTTACATCCCAATTACGTAATTCATCTTTTGCATCCCCTTTACAGCGACACCTCTCCCCTAAGTCTTCTGCTTCAGCTGCTCCTACAACAACTCAACAAGAAACTGCCAGAGGTAGCTCCTCTTTTCTTTCTGGTGGACTAAGGACTTCCCAGATCCAGGGATCCATGTTCAAACTTCCAAGTGGCACTTTGACAATGTCTCGGGGTCCTGCTGAGCAGGCTGTTACAACTGAAGGTGTAGGTGGTGGAACACTGTCACCCTCTGCACTCTCCAATGCTCTGCAGAATCCAAGTCTACGTAAGGCAACGTATAGACTTCCTGATGGCACACTGGTCACAAGGAATGAATCTGCTCAGCCAACATCTGGTCAGTCTGTTCAATCTTCTTCCGTACTGTCCTCTGCACTGTTGAATTCCAATATCCGTAAAGCAACATACAGGCTTCCAGATGGGACTTTGGTTACAAGAAATGAGCCAGCACCTGAACCTTCCTCTGCAATGCTCTCTTCTGCGCTGCTCAATTCAAATGTTCGAAAGGCCTCTTATCGATTACCTGATGGTTCACTTCTTACACGTCCTGGCGAGGTAGTACAGAATAATGATAATGCCCTATCATCAACTGGCCTATCTAGTGCCCTGATGAACGCTAACCTTCGTAAAGCAAAGTTTCAGCTTCCAGAAGGATCAGCCCTTTTTTCACGAAATCAGACTCAAACTCCTTCCAGTCCTCTCCTTTCTGGTGCCTTGCTAAACACTGGTGTCCGAGGTGCTTCTTACAATCTCTCAAGCACATCATTATTTAGGAAGCCTGGCTCTGGTGATACTTCAGAGCAACGTTCACTTGATCTATCTAATGCTTTACGCAATCAAAACCTCCGTTCTGCTTCATACCGATTACCTGATGGAACTCTCATGACCCCTTCCCAGACCACTTCTTCATCCCAATCATTTGACCTGTCGAATGCTTTATCAAAGAACCCAAACCTTCGTGGTGCAAAATACCGTCTTCCTGATGGTAACATCATGACACGACTTGGTGCCCCTAGCACTCCACAACCACGGTCGCTTGACCTGTCTGGTGCTTTACAGAGTTCTCATCTGAGGGGGTCCAATTTCCGTCTTCCCTCATATGCTGTGGTATCACCCCAGGTCCAGGGATCAGGGCCTGAACAGCACTGGGCTCAGGGCTCTGGTGCTGAAGGCTTCGGTATGCAGCAAGATACTGATGTATGGGGTGCTGAGAGAGTTCTCCCACATGGTACTGTGCAAAACCTCAATAAGTGGTCCATGTATAGAGATGGCGAGCTCCTGGATCCCCAGAGTCTGATGGGGCAGGGACATGATGGGCAGCAACTAGACGAGTGGAATCTCAACAGGGAGGGGGAGCCACAGGGGCAGTGGTATGACAAGGTAATAGTTTTTCATTTAAACATTGGATCAATTTTAAGGTTGTGAATACATTTTTGCTAAAACCATTGTAATAGAAAAAAACTAAAACATTCAAGGGATTGGTTGATTGATTGTAAAGACACAGAATTCTTTAGGTGTGAAGCACATATAAAGACTTACATTTTTGGAACATTGATGAAGAGAGTGGAAAAAAATGGGGCTCTGGTAAAGGACAATCCTTCCGCAAATCTAAAAAGACTGAACTGTAATGTTATTAGATTAAATTATTTAATTTACTTGGCAGATGTTCCTTCTACAGAGGCCTGAGGATTTGAATCATATCCTCCTATCTGTGTGTATGTGCACATATCTTTTTTAGATATACTCAATCAGAAGTATGCCCACCATAGCTCACCGGGAACAGAGACAGGAAGATGGTGTGGAAGATATGACACAATTAGAGTAAGTACAATTTAAATCCCACATGTCTAAGTTATCTCTCAGATAGATTTAGGTTGACTGAAATATGTAGAAAAAACATATCAAACACACAAACTCATCTAATGTCTTCTGACATCATATGTCTATATGCCATTAATTAGGTCACAATCAGGTTCATACGGTCAAATGTGTACTTTTGACCAGTATCATAAGTGTTTAAGACTTCAAGGAAAATTCTGAATAACAAAGATAAGGATGTATTATCTTGTTGGGGGAAATAACTTTAGACGGATCACAGGGATGAGGAGTGTAATTGAATTTTACTAAGTGCCTATTAAACATGCAGAAATGGTTAATGGATCAAGGTTTGAACTGCTCAGGGAAAGCCTTACATAAACATAGGTATTTCTTTTTTGCAGGGAAATGCACGAGGGGGCTGTTCTATCAAACTTGAGGAAAAGGTTCAAAAGAGAGCTCATTTATGTGAGTATCTGTACAACTGTCTCAAATGCAGATGACCAGTGATTTTAAACAGTTTTGACATTTTTTCATAACATGAAAATAACACTAGCTTTTTGTCAACAATGCCTTTTTTTCCCTCCTATTTTTCTACTTTTTTCAGACATACATTGGTAGTATCCTGGTATCTGTGAACCCATACAAGATGTACAACATCTATGGAACGGACATGGTGCTGCTGTACAAGGGTCGTGCTCTGGGAGAAAACCCTCCGTAAGTGATATAGCCTCTCAAAGAATAAACCGGGAAATAATCGGAAAGCCCTTGTTATTGCCTAAATATTTCCAATGAGCAAAAGCTTAGAATGAACCATTTCAATGAAGTTGTATTGTGATGATTTTTTTCTAAACTATCTTCATTTAATGAATTATCATCCAATTGCAATTCATTTTTATCTTCTAGGCATTTGTTTTCCGTAGCAAATGCTGCTTATTCCAAAATGATGGATGCCAAACACAACCAGGTCATTATAATCAGGTACAGCTTGAATATTTTCTCTATTAATATTATTTGGGGGTTTTGGAATATCGATAGATACAGCCTGAAATCAACTTTACATTGCTAATGGTTTTACTTTACATTCAAACAATTTTCAGAAGCCTGCAACTAAATTTATCTTAATATTATTAGTTTTTCGTTGACACTGATTTAGCCTTTAAGCATTTTTTTAAGTTAGTTTTTTCACAATGCTTTCATCTTGCTCTGCACAAAGTTGGCAGTCAGGTTTCCATCCTCATTTGAATAACTGTTGTGCATTTTCACAAACCACTTTCTGTGGTTTAACGGCCAGCAAACTATAGACGCCATTCACTTTTGTCTTGTGTGTCCTCTTGCTTCACGCAGTGCCAAAACTAAGGCCACCCTTCCTCATACACATACCAATAAATTTACAACACCAGCAAGTATATAGGGGGTTCATGTGACAACCTACTCACATGTACACAGGTGGCACTGTTTGCTTGCTGACCTGAACACAAATTGGTCCATGCTTTTAGATGTGACCAGAAAAAGTAATGAAATAACTACACAAACACATCTCCATGCATACGAAAAACACACCTGGAACTCTCCGGCCGTACTCGGAACGGGACACCTGTAAGGAAAGCCCAGCCAGATCTGGGCCAGGAGCAGATTGTGTTTCCATGGCGTGTGTGTCCGAGTGCATGTGTGTGTGGACCGTGGGTTTGTGTATGTGTGACAGCAAGTGCGTGTTAAGGGCTAACTGAGGTCTGGTGTTCAGTGACCATTAACAGGCCTGGTTTTTAGCTAAACAGTCTGTGAGCTGAAACCTTATGCTGGAATGTGGTCAAGGTGCTGCTGTCTCTAAATACGCACAAACACACAATCCAATCCTCAATTGGTGAAGCTTACATAACGGTGGTATTCAGTGCTAAGCTGTTGGCAGGGGTAAAGCGCTGGGCATGTGTGTTTCAGGTAGTTTAACGCAAAAGTGGAGTTGAGGCCTCACCTAATGCAAGCTTAGGCTGGTCTCACATGACTTAGTCAATTAAGTCAAACACTTTACAAGTGCTTGCAGGGAGATAACAAGGATCGAATAATGGACGCTATAGCTAATTAACAAAAGTTGAGTTTAGTCGTGCTCAAAGTGCAGATCATGTTTTCACTTAATGGGCTTAATGTGATTTTTCCTGTTCAGTGCGTCTTTTAGGATTTAAAGGTTTCACCCAACAAATATGACAGAGGATAATGTATCAATATATTTATGATGGTCCCTAACTTGGTTGTATATAGATGTAAATTGAAAAGAGGTAAAAGTGCTGTGTTTTTTCTTTTAACTATGAGAACAGGTGTTCAGAATTTTTAAGGACATGTTGAAGGGTTTAATACGTGTGAAGTAAATCTCTCTTACGGTGTTTCAGTGGGGAGAGTGGATCAGGAAAGACAGAGGCTACCAAACTCGTCCTTCGCTACCTTGCAGCAATACATCATAAATCCAATCTCACGCAGCAGGTTTGCACACACACCTCTAACATACCCAAACTAAGTTTGAGAGCAAATGCACACAAAAAACACACACAGACATGCCTCCTGTTGTTATTAATCTGTAATGATTGTTAGTATTTTCTTTGTCTCCTGTGGCTCGCCTTGGGTGCAGATTGAGGTTGGTGGATTACCTACACGCTTAATGCTTTACATTTTACAGCTATTCTTCATTTCTGTTCATTAGAATGACAGGTTGCTTTGTCTTGCTGTGGTCTATGGCAACACATTTTTCCAACAAATATCGACACAAGTAACGCTTTACATTTGAACTTGTCTATATGTCTCTGAAATGTTTTTCCTCCATTATTTCATTGTATCATTTAGCTTTTTATGCATGTAAATGGTCATCAAAGTTGAGTAGCCCTGAGTCAACATTTGTCCAGCTGTCTTGTGTCCGTGGAACTACTGTTCTTTTATTTACAGTACTTACAGTAATGTCCTAAATGGTCTTTTAGAACATTTCCTTTGAGGCAGTGTGTTCTGTTTCCAGCTACATTTTGAGAGTCATGTGTGATATGGCCTATCTTAAACACTGCTCTCTAAAATGGCTGCTATTAGAAGAAATTTCAATTGTATTTACCAACTACACGGTTAAGGTTGTCAATCTACTTTTTGTGTGAATGTCTGGTAGATCCTTGAGGCAGCTCCTCTGCTGGAATCTTTTGGAAATGCCAAAACTGTGCGAAATGACAACTCCAGTCGCTTCGGGAAATACATGGAGGTCTTTCTAGAGGAGTGAGTATTTATTGTAATTATTGTAAACTCACGCCATCTCTTCCTCAATCCAATTATTTTTCCTGTTCCTGTCTAGTGGTGTGATCAGTGGTGCCATAACCTCTCAGTATCTACTGGAAAAGTCCCGTATTGTCTTCCAGGTGAGACATGGAAGGCATGAGTAAACAAGAGCAATTCTGTGTTTTAGTTGTCTGCATATTAACCCCTCGGTAAATCTTAATTTCAGGCCAAAGATGAGAGGAACTATCACATCTTCTACGAGATGCTAGCAGGTCTTCCCTCACAGCAGAGGCAGGCATTTTATCTGCAAGAGGCTGAAACCTACTATTACCTGAACCAGGTAGAATAGACTGTGCGGCATAACGTCAGGCCTCCTCTGCTTTTCTCCACAGTTCATCCTGTTTCTCTCTTTTCACAGGGAGGTGATTGTGGGATAACTGGAAAGAATGATGCAGATGACTTCCGACGTCTGATTTCTGCAATGGAGATCCTTCACTTCACCCCAGAAGACCAGTCTGCTATTTTCAGAGTTCTCTCCTCCATACTACACCTGGGAAATGTCTACTTTCAGAAATATGAGGTAGTATTTTTAAAGCAACCTCTCTGCTGTATTTTATTGATCAGTCCAATCTCATTTGAATGGGGCGAAAAAAGGTTGGAGGTGTTTTGCAGGTAACTAGAAATCAGAGAAGGAATAACATTGATTTGAGCTAAACTTCCACCAAATGCTTCAACAGCAAAATTAATTTCTCCGAGACACTCACTAAACTTTCTTAATTTTTGTCTCCATGCTGCGCTGCAGACGGATGGCCAGGAGGTGGCGTCAGTGGTGAGCGCTCAGGAGATCCGAGTGGTGGCAGAGCTGCTGCAGATCTCTCCAGAGGGACTACAGAAGGCCATCACCTATAAAGTCACAGTCAGTCTTAACCATGTTTTTAACGCACTGATATGATATCTTCAATCTTAAAATATGTAGCCTCTCCTATTCTCGGGTCTTTTACAGTCCATTTATTTTCATCCATATTCTGGATTTTCTGTACAGTTTAAAAGGTGATCCCACTCCTCCTGATCATCTTGTGATGCTTCCAACTAAAATGAGGATCATGAGAAGGGAAACAACAACTTTAGGATGCATTAAAAGTAAATTTGATCTCAGCACAAGTTTCAATGATCCACATACACACTCCTGTAGATAATGTGAGAGCCTTTTGCATTATTTAATTTCTAATTACAAAGGTGTGTGAAACAGAGGAGTCAGTTGAGCCTACTTATTTCCTTCAGATGGAGGAATGTGCCCATTAGTGCATGTGTTGATGTGGTCAACACATGACCACATGTGATGTGGTTGATGGTCAAGGGAATTTTGGCAAAAAAAAAGGGATCTCTTAAAGGGAAGCAAATCAAACTTTATATGTTACCCTTATGAGACAGACTCTCATGGCTTTCCTTGAAACCCTCAATGCAAAATGGTAGGTTAAAAGATGGAGCAGTCAGGGAACTGTTGTAGGGGTTTATTACTAAATACTAAAAACTGAAATTTAAGTTTTGACTTGTGAGGTTCTCAAACATAATATGAACGTAGGCTTGGAAATTTATTATATTTTGGGAAGTTGACAATTTTGGGTTGTAACCCCTGAACCCTGTGCTTCAATGTTTCTGTGTTTTCTGCAGGAGACGATGAGGGACAAAATCTACACCCCTCTCACTGTAGAAAGTGCTGTTGATGCCAGGTGAGGGAAAACAATCCACGTGAACTAATGACGGGCATCTCATCCCTGAATGGCTATTAACAGCAAAACAATACCGTGTCCGTACTAACCAATGTTATTTTAAAACCAGCACGTATCCTAAATAATCACACATTAAAGAGGAATATTTTGTATTAATTCATGGGACCTGGTTCGCAGTCTGTGTTGAGTAATTACATATAAAAGCTTAAATGTTATTAAGTTCTGACCCGTTTTAAGCTATCTGGGTGAGGTTTCCATGATTTTCTAATTCATATTTGTAATATATCCATGCGTTCATTTATGATCTTTCACACACCACTCTCCCTTTCACAGAGATGCTGTTGCCAAGATCCTGTACTCATTACTGTTCCACTGGTTGACAGAAAGGATCAATGCTCAGGTGTACCCTCGCCAGCACACTCTGTCCATCTCCATTCTGGACATTTATGGATTTGAGGTAGGCAAAGTGTCCCTCTGTGTTTTGTGACACGCTACAATGCCAGACTGTGATTAAATGTTGGTTCATATCTGAAGAAGCACTTTTTCACCTGTGGGATGATGTGCACTCATAGACCACACAGGACGGGAGACACAGCGTCCAATCACCTGTCACCTGCATTAAAAAAATCTGTGATTCATTCAGAGAAAAACTCTCTATACACACCAATACAAGACACAAGGAATCACCAGCTCTTCGTGTGTTTGTGCCTGTGTGTGTCAACAGGACCTGTCCTTTAACAGCTTTGAGCAGCTTTGCATCAATTATGCAAACGAGTACCTGCAGTTCTTCTTCAACAGGATCGTTTTCAGAGAAGAACAGGCGAGTCCACGTCACGTCCGACAAATGCAGACACAAAATTCCCTCAGCTGTTTGTGCATTGCCCTGCAGTATGCAGGCAAAGACACAGGATAGGATGAGAAACAGGAAATAGGAAAAGCACATGCCCACCGCCCTGTAATGTATCTGATTCCCATGCAGGAGGAGTACAGCAGAGAGCAAATCCCCTGGCAGAACATTGTGTTTAGTGACAACCAACCCTGCATCGACCTTATTTCCGCTAAGCCTCACGGGATTCTGAGGATTCTGGATGACCAGAGCTGCTTCCCCCAAGTGAGGATTGTTAGACATCTGGAAAGGCCTGGGCATCTTGAAAAGTCTGTCACACACACTGACTACCACACTGTGCCAGTCAATAAGAACATGTTCATTTGTTACCAGGCAACCGACCACACTTTTCTTCAAAAGTGTCACTATCACCATGGAAACAACCCCCTGTATCTTAAGCCAAAGATGCCCATCCCGGAGTTCACCATCAAGCACTTTGCTGGACGGGTCATCTACCAGGTTTGCATCAGCTTTTCATTGGTCATTCAATTTAGACCTGATTTTAGGGGGGCTGGTATATCCTTATGCTAAAGTCGACAAATTCACCCTTGCTGGATTCATGGCCACAGGAATGGAAGAGCTTTTTTTTTTTAGCAGCTGTTGTTTGAACGCCTGTGAAATATCTTAAATTTTCTCAGACCAATTCTAAAACGGTAATTAACAGAAACTATGATGCAGAATACGTTATGACCCGATAATGCTTGATGTCACTGTTGCAGGTTTACAAGTTCCTTGATAAGAACTACGATCAGGTCCGGCAGGAGGTTCTGGACCTGTTCATTCAGAGCAGGAACAAGGTGAGCGGGACGAAGCCTCCTCCTCCGCTAACATCCACACGAAAGGGCACGCCTTGTCTCATTCTGCTGTGCGTGCGCGTCCAGATGGTGTCAAACCTCTTCCTGGGCCACGCAGAGGTCATGGGTCAGCAGAGAGGAGGTCACATGAGGAAGAGCAGCTCGGTCACCAGAAAGTACCAAGCTCCCACCGTCAGCAGCAAGTTCCAGCTGTCCCTGTTGGAGCTGGTGGAGAAGATGGAGAGGTGAAGTTGATGTAAAGTATTTGCTCGCCGATGGATGAACATAAAACTGACACAATTATCTTATTTAAAAAATAAAAATTTCGGTTTAGAAGGATTTTACCAGCCTTGCTCACTTTAAAAACACAAGTTTTTTCCTTTTCAGGTGCAACCCATTTTTTGTTCGCTGCATTAAGCCAAATAATATGAAGGTACCCTCTCAAACATTGTTCGTTTGATCACTGACAGAACTCGCGACACAGTTTGAACATCTAAAAATTTCTACATCTGTGCTTAGCAACCAGGCATGTTTGAGGATGACCTGGTCAGCAGCCAGCTGCGGCACTCCGGCGTCCTGGAGACCATAAGGATCCGTAGGGAGGGATATCCTGTTAGAATGCCATTTTACACCTTCCTCTTCAGGTAACAGAAACTCAGAATGCTAAAACACTTTTTTTTTAAGTATTTAGACAATGAGCCCAAAGGCCATCCCAGCCCTCACTCTGCTTTTTACTCCACAGAGTTTGCATGTTGTTCAGGTCTGGCTTTACCACTCTGTTGACTCTTTATTGCTGACTTTTTTATATTTTTGTCACAATATCAAGACTATTTACGTAATGCCTTTTTGCCCACCCCCCCTCATTATGCTGCCTGATGCATTTAATCTCTATGACCCAGCTTGATTTTGAGGAGGGTGCTCAAGGAGATCATTAACTCTCCTTTCTTCAGCCGATTGGCAACTGTGTCCCCGTTTCTAAGCAACTCAACTTTTCAAACTCAAAGGATTTCCTCTCTGTTTGAATGAGCTTTAATGAAGTTTAATGAAGTCTTTCAGAAGAGGAAGGGAGAGTTTTTCCACATTTCCCAAAATGGTCTGAGTGGTTAGCATTAGGCGTGAAATAATAATCCCAGTTGTGAATCTGAGAAAAACCATCTGACAGCCTTTGGAGCCACTTTCAAAAAGAGCAATGTTACAAAATATTGGATGAAACTTGTAAAAAAAAATGGTAAACAGAGAAAAAGAGCAGCATGATATGATAAATGAGAAGCATTCTGTTGTATGTTTCCTTTAGATATAAGTCTCTGGTGGGATTAAAAGAGATTCCAGCAGCAAACGGAGAGAACTGTGTGATAATGCTCAGTAAACTGAGCCCCCTCCGACCGGGAGCGTTCCACATTGGTGTCACCAAGGTGAGGCCGTGCAACTTTTGAACAAACCAACCAACTTTTAACCCTGTCATAAATATTACGAGCACATTACTAACATGGTGCTGCACCTAATTTTTGTGATTTTCTCTGACCTATGTGTGCATGTGTGTGCTTGCAGTTGTTTCTGAAGGAGGACATCTACCAGCTGCTGGAGTGCAAACGGGAGCGATGCCGTCATCTCGCTGCGCTCACTTTGCAGCGGTACGCCCGCATGTTCTTTGTCAGGAAACGCTTCTTGGAATTCCGCTACAAAATGGTCAGATTCCAGGCGCAGTGCCGGGGCTTCCTTGTTCGGTGAGCGTCATTTAAAGCACCGCGGCTGTACTTTACCCATAGTCACAGAGTTTGCTCTTTTCTGGGTTCAAAGTGTGGGAGAGAAGTTTCACAGAAATAAGACCTCTTAAAAGTGAGACTGAATATATCATAATGAGTTCAAGCTTTAGCGGAGATTAGTTCTCATTTCATCCTCCAGGAAGCAGTACGTGAAAATGAGGGAGAATCTGGTCCGATTCCGCTCTCTTGTCCATATGTATGTCAACCGGAAGCAATACATCAAGGTAAACCTTTTCTCCTTTATTGTTCTGCTCATTATTTGAGCCAGTACTTGACACCTGTACAGCATCATTTGCATTAAAAAAATGTTTTTACACGTTATACTAATAATAATAATAATTGCAGTATGTCATTGATTTATTTATTGATAATTTAATACCCAGAGTCAGTTTCAAATTAGACAAGTACATTTTATGTATTCCTACTAGCTGAAAATTTCCCCTTAGTAATTGCTAATGACTGTTATGGCTGTTAACCACATATGATCTATTCACAGAGGAAATTTGAAGCCCAGAGGAGAGCTGAAGAAGAGAGGAAAAGGAGAGAGACGGTGAGATGAAAGTTAGGACAATATGCAGGAACCTTTTCCTGAGTAGTTTTCGGTTTCATTCTTTTCCAATTAGGCTTGGTTGCCACAGCAGAGATAATTGATCTTATCTTTACAACAACAAATTTTAAAACTATTTTTAGAATTTAAAATTGTTTGAAATGCTATCTTTTTCAGGAGCTGACCAAAAGGGAAGTTGTTAATGTCACACACTTGGTGATCCCTGCAGAGCTTGGTGCATTACTGCACACGGCAGGAGGTATGTGTATGTCCACTTTCCCCATTAGTGTCATCACATGGTGTGCATTCCCATAATTCATGAAGGGGTCTGAAAACACTCGCGTCAGCTTCTTCAGTGTGTCTCATCCCATCTACAACTTCAAAAACGTTTTAATTGGGCTGACAGAGCAGGACCGGAGTGATATCACTTAATAATTAAACCAAACAGAGAAAACGTAGAGTATTGGTGGCATTTTAAATTGGGCCAAAAATAAGATGCTTGATATGTCATTTTCAAGGGAGTACATGTACATACCCTGACTTTTGTTTCACCCTCTGTCTCCCTTTAGTCAGGAAGGAGCTGCACTCAGACTGTTTGGCTCTGCTTCAAGCTCCTCACATCCAGGAAGAGGCCCAGCTCACTCTGCCTCTGGACATCAACAATTACCCTTTTTATCGCTATGTGCAGATCTATTTCAGGGTGAGGCGCATCAACATCCCCACACAACCAGCTGCACTAGTGATGGCAATCTTGAAACCCTTTGGGTCTGTTGTCTTTTCCAATAAAGTGGTGCGCTTCAGCAAGTAGAAGTCTTTCAATCCATTCTTTAAAGAGCATAGGAATTAAGATTAAACCGATTACATGTCAACTCATAAGCAATGCACCACAGATGAAGTCAGAAATCATCAAAACTAGGACAAAACTCCTCCATTAAGAGAGCATACACATGTATTTCAAATATAAACCCATGATGAACCACTGGCCACAGTAACATGTCCCCGATGAAACACTGAAAATGCATGGGTGGAAAAAAGGATTTCCCATTGGGACACTCATCTGTACATATTTGAAACTCCCTGCCTACCACCCATAATTCTAAATCCAAATCCAATATAACATAAACACTAACACTTTTATTGTGATAGGAACCAAAATTTGGGATGTTGATGGCCCCTCTGGAGTCACCTCTGACCCGGGTGGAGGAAAACCTGCAAAAGGAGGCTCTGGAGCTTTTCAACATGGTATATCAGTTTGCTGTGTATTTTGTTCCTTTTTTAAAGACAGATCAATGTTCTGATTAAATTATTCTTCTACTTTTCATTGCCTTGATGAAATATTTCTTCTATGGTTTCTAAGAAGTTTCTGTTCTGTATCTTTACGCTTTGAGAAAAGCACAAAGCTGGATGTACTCGAGCCCTTCATGTTATGAAAATGAATCCATCCTTAGGTTCAGTTAGTTGGACAACAGAAAACATCAGAATGTACAAATCAGTGCCAAATAAATGTGTGGATCAGAAAGAAGTTGCACAGTCTCACCAGATGCGACTGCCACAAACTTTCTGCCTTTGTTCTTTGTTTTTCAGGTATTGCGCTTCATGGGAGACCCTCATCTAAATGGGGCACAGGAAAACATGTTTGGGAATTATATTATCCAAAGGGGTCTGTCAGCTCCAGGGTTGCGTGATGAGATCCTGGCTCAGGTTGTCAATCAGGTGTGGAGGAATACGAACCACGCCAATGCAGAGAGAGGATGGCTGCTGCTACTGGCGTGTGTCTGCAGCTTCGCCCCATCACCCAAGATGGACAAATACCTGCTGAAGTGAGGAGGGATTTCTCCTGAATGCTCACATGACACACAAATATATTTGTTATATATTATTGAAATTATCAACTAAATTTAGACGTAAAGGTTAAACTGGAACATTCCCACTAAGCTTTCATTTTATCCATTTGTTTAAAAGACATATACGTCTTTATTGACCCTTAAAGCAGATGAAAATTACTCAAGCTTTATAAGCTTCCAGCGATTTGAGTGAATAATCTTCTGATGATTTTGTGCAGACTTTAATTTTAGCGTCATTACAGGAAGAATCTCAATTGGGGTTTGTATCACAGGAAAACCTGATTTGAACTTTGGCTTCCAGGTTTGTTTCAGACCACGCCCCTGCTGGCTGTCAGGCGCTGCTGCAACACAAACTCATCCAAGCCAATCAGAAGATGCAGCTTAGTTTAGACTTCACCCCCGAGACTATGCGCACCTATCCATTGTCTCTGCTGGAGTGGACAGCCAATAGGAAGAAGGCCAGCATGGTGCTGCATGTGCACTGTTTTGATGGTGAGATATTGTTTTTTTTCAGTTTGATTTTGTATAATACAGTTTTGATTTGCTTCATTTTTGGTATTCTTCCTGGAAGTAAACCCGAAAGTCAAACCAACTGAGATGTGACTTTAAAATGCTGTTATTCATATAGTCCTCCTACAGTTACATACTGATTATCAGAGTTTAGCCTAAACGCTGATTCATGCTTGGAAATCATGATATGTACCTTCTACTGACCTAAATTTATGCACCACACCTTAAAGAAAAGCCAGATGAACTTCCTGGAATCACTTTTATTGTTTGGGATCAATTACAGCCCTGGGTCATTGATAATTCATTGCAGGATGGGATCAGGTGATTGAATCTGGGGCCCAGTGGTCCTTGAATTGTGCCCATTAGATACATCCATTTGTCCATTTGCTGTTGATTCCTGGTAGGTTGGGCGAAAGGGGGTGGGGGGTGTACACCCTGGAAAAGTCACCAGTCCATTAGAAACTGTTTATTTTTAATATCTAAACAACTGGTGTTATTTAAAAGAAAATACATGATGGAGGAGGTTTGTTTATTTGATTATTTGACACTGCAGGGGGCTCGTTCCTGTGTCCGGTTCATTCATGGACAAGCGGGGAGGACTTGGCAGGACACATCCTGCGTCACAGGTCCTATTTTCATCCACTTAGTTTTTTCTTGAAAATCTCTGCCTTTCATTCTAGTGGTCTCCTTTTTATTTGAGAACCTCATTCAAGTCAACTCTCAAATTCATTTAGGTTTATCGTGCAGTAACATAAGCACAGTTATCCAGCTCACTTGAGATCAGTCTTAACAAATAGATGAGGATATCTGAATGTCTGAATTGTGTGCTCTTGCAGGGGAGTGGGAGACTGGTGGAAGGGGAACTCAATTTTGATGAAGGAGCATGGCCAGTGGGCTGAGTTGGCAGGACATGACTATGTGATGGACCTAATTGCAGACCTAGAGCTCCCCGTGGACTTCCCAAAGCAGAAGAGTTACTTCATCGTCAGCACTGACAACCCAGCCAGAGTCAGAGCCAATACCAGCCTGTCAGTGTGTTCACCGTCATGGATGAAATCTGGAATCAAATACAGGACATGACGCCGGCTGTAACAGAGCATGTTGTTCTCCTCTCTTCACTCAGAACTTTGTTTGGCGGTGGCTTTGACTCAGATGAAGAGCTGGCAGCATTTCCTCTCAAGAGCAGCAGAACAGCCCACAGCCTGCCTGATTCTGATGGTTACCACAGCCACGGTGCAGAAACTCTCACAAATGAAAATATGTTTTACTACTGTGAACAAATAGAAAAAGGATGCAGTTGTATAGGGCTACAATTGGAAAGTTGTATGTGTTCCTTGGAAGAAGATTACAACACTGATGTGTTGATGAATTATAGAAAATATGTTGTTGGTAAAACATTGATCTACGTATAAGCTATGCCAATGGAATTTAAAGTTGTTGCTTTCTGTGTGTGTCCAGCAGAGTCAGATGCATTCAGCGATGGTCAGACTCAGAGAGGAATGGACCGCTACTTGGACAGCCTGTTTGAGCCTGTGCTCTCAGACAGCAGCATAGTGAGTGTGCACAGATTTCCAGAAATGTACACTTTATATTAACCTTTCATTTCTCAGTTTTCAAACAATTTCTTCTTTGTGGTCACATCAGCAGACCATGTGGTATATTGCATCATAAACATTTTTATTTTATACCCTCAAATGTGTGCTTAAGGTGGTTGTACGTACAGCTTTGAAGAGTCCAGTATTTTATGAATCACTAGAACTGAGCTTTGAACCATTTTGTCTCTTCCTGGCGTTCGCCGACAAGAAAACAGGTAGAGGGACACCTTGTAACGAAGCAGGTTAACTGGCATGGGATGTATAGGCATGTAAAGAGTACCTTACAAAGGCAGAGTCTCTTAGGACAATTGAGAATAAAGTTCAAGGCCATCCTCTTGAGTATACAACATTTTCATGGAGTTAATTTGGAGACATTGTTAAGACAGACTGATATTTTTTGCATCAGGTCTGACAAGCTGACTTCTGAAATTTGTGTAGTCTTTGGATTAAAGAAGAGAGGGGCTCTCTGTCTGCATCTTTCATGGTATATGGATGCTTAAATGTTTCCAGAACTGATAATTGCCCATCTGGAAAGGCTTGTTTTACTCTAAAAGGTATTTACAAGTATTTGAGCAACATCTTCTCCCATCCTGACGTGTTCTCTAGGGAAATGCTTGAGGGGCCTGTCTGATGACTTTACTTACACCATCAATTGAACAAAATATTGTTAAAAAACAAAAATGTTGGGCAAATAGAAAGTATTTTGAGATGTGTTCCAGCCACCAAATTCTTTTGTTGACATTAATCATCATCAAACAATTGATATCTTTTCTTTGTTCTATTGTGAGGAAAGTATTTATCATGAGATGTGTTCTGATGTGTATTTCCAATTTATACAGTGCCTGTTTGGAAGAAAAGTTGTATTTTGATCTGTGAAATGCATGACAGTGTGGTGTCATGCTCACTCGGCCTGATCATCTGACTGACTGAATGCCAGGGGTTGTTGATAGATGGGTAGAACACGCGATCCACTGCTTCTGTTTGTGTATGAATGGCCCGCGCAAGTGGGACGATTAGGTTACTGAAAGACCTACCGTATTTGATGATAACAGCAGGCAGGACACAAACAGCCCCATAGAGGACTCTGTCTTATTAACAACTTTACAGCTTGTTCACATTTGAATTATGAAGGAACAAAAGGATAAACCATTTAGTTGCATAGCATTTGGTGACATACACCCAACTTTCCTGTGTTTCTAAGTTGTTACCAGTTGCATTTATGTTGGATGGAGCGTCTTCTACAGCATGTACGGTACTTCCTGGACTGTATTCAGTTCCTGCAGCTAGGCTGACTCACTTTGAGAGGGTCTCAATCAGCCATCCCTCCCTCTTTTTTGCTCTCTTGGTCTCGATTCTTCTAGTATACACACTTTCCATACCACTCTTCATGTCTTTTCAACTCCAGTTTCTCACTACCTGCAGCCAACTCGTTCCCTCTGTTGAACATCTACTGCCTGGTTCTCTCTGTCTGCCAGGACATGGAAAAAACGGGAGGACTATCGGCGAGGATGAAGGGAGGAGGAGGGATAGGCATCCCAGGAGGCGAACGGGGAGACGGGGAGAGTCGTGCACCCCCCAGCAGGCCTTATCCACCAGGAATACATCCTGGAGGTAAAAATTCTCTAGTGGTTCATGTGTGTGTTTCCTTTTTTTATTTTCATTTCTTGCACTCTGTCCTGCATCTATTCTTCTCAAACTATTTTTCTATGACATAAATAATTTATCTGAGTACGTCCAATATTGTTGGCAGAACTCTAAGGTATTATTTCATTCAAAATTTGGATCCTCTGCTGAATGCTTTAAACACTATGAAGGTTAAAAGGCGAGAAGTAATTCAAATTTACAGAGCTGGAGCTCATTGCTTCATGTGCACACTTCGCCAGTCTTAAGCTATTGTTTAGAGGCTGTAATGAGCAGTCTGGCTTCATAGATAATGCATCAATTCAAGCAGTCATTCACTGTAACCATACACCCCTTTGCTTTCTATGGGAATCGATCGAGCTAACCGCTTCTCTCGCTTGCTGTATAATCTATGTATGAATCCTATATTTGTATTATAATTGGTACCACTGCTTATTTCTTCTTCAGGATTTTGTGTGTGCAGCTCTCTCTCCCAAAAATATCTCTTTCCAGACATTTGGATTTCCTCCATCATTACAGTTTTTTTAAATGTTTGCTTTTTGTCTCTTTTTCTCTGCGACTCATATGTAATTAATACATTAAGGGTATTAGAAGAACATTGTACTTCTGATTGGACATTTGTTTGGACTATAAACCAGCAGAAATAAGATGTATTTGAAAGTTTTGGCTATATATACTGTATATGTGTACATTGAATATAATTTACTGTCTTTTTTATCCACACAACAAAGTAACTAGCCTGGGTGGTGGAATTTATTCAAACAGAAACTTGTGCAAATTGAGAAGAAGGTCAGACAAAATTTCCCCTTAAAAATGGCAAAACTAGTCGGGCACCATGAATTTTCACATGAAACCTAATTCTGATTAATATAGTAATTGAAAAGACAAGTCTAGATAAGACTAAGGAACCAATTGCCTGAAATTTTCCTTTTCTGAAGCGGGCAGTGTCATTGACGAAATATGTCTACTCTGATGGAATTTACTTGTTCTGCCGGGACTTTAGTTAGACTGCTGGGAAAATAATTAGAAATAATTTCTTGACAGCTTAGAAAATCCCTGAGCTGTAGCCAAAAGCAGCCCATCTGCTCAGAAAAATCAGCTTAAAAAAGCGTCTGTGCCCCACGGGCTACGTTGTTTCTGACTCTAACCCTGTTCCCTGCCTGCTGCTCCCCAAGCTGTGCCGGTCCTTCCAGTGGGGGGCGGAATGATGCCCCCTGTCCCCGCTATGCCAATTCCCTCCCACCACCATCACATTGAACAGCACCAACAACAACAGCAGCAACCGCCGCAACCGCCACAGTACCACCAGTACAACCGGCCCCAACAGCCCTACCAGGAGCAGGCCTCGCCCCCAGCTGCCCCCGCCACCCGCGTGGCGCCCACGCCGTTGCCCTCTCGCGCCCCCGCTGTCACGCCCACAGCTGCCCCCGCCGCCGACAGAAACGCTGACGCGGCGCCTCATGTCAGCGCCGTCCCGGGTCTGCCCAGAGCGCCCGCCCCCCCGACCACACCCGCGGTCCCGGGCTTACCTGGTATGACAGGTGTGCCAGGTACAATGGCGGGGCGTGCGTGTGATTTCCCGGCATGTGTGGCCCACAGGGCGTGGGCATGATGGACTTCCAGTGAGGCCGTAGATGAAGGCCCTTTTGAATTTCTGAACTTATTCAATCATGTGTTGATATTGCTGTGCTCGGTTGCGTGGTTTGTGTGACGCTGAGGAGTGTTTTTGTTATAAAGAGAGATATATCTAAATGCGTTAACTGTTGCTTTCCTAAATGCTCACATTGCTGTGTTTTTAAATGTTCCTTTCCAGGATCGGAGCAGGCTGTGCTGACTCAGCAGCAACAGGCCATCATCAACCAGCAAGCTATCATTCTGGTGGGGCACATGTTCATCCTCTTAAGAGCTCTCACATGTGTGCACTTCACACAGTCCAATGCATTGATATTATGAAGTCAAATACATTTTAGATGTTTGCCAGAAGCTCTGAGATTAGCTCTCGACACCTTTCAGAAACGTTTAGTCTGTCATCTTTTATAGCCTTTATAGACGAGATCAACACTATTGACATTTTTGTGGCAACAATGGTTGTAAGCAGAGGTATTTGGATATATTTTTGGAAAATCATTCCAGAGATAAACCCTCTCCATATATCTATGTTTAAGTGCACTGTAGTGATAGAAAAGACAGGCAAAAAACACTTTGACCACACAGCTTGATTTAAACCAAGATGGGAGTTAAAAGAGGTGGACGTAACTTTTTTATTAATTTACAAGGCACCCATTTCAGATACTTCAAATGATTGGCATTTTGTAACTTTTGAAACATTTTGTACTGTGGACCAGCACCCTTATTATATATTCTTAAGTGTTATTTATCACTGACATAAAGGATGCATCAGTGGAAATTGATCAATTCTAGGAATAAAATGTAAGAATAAACAGTGAGGTGACTGCAGACTGATGTGTATGTGTCTTATGTGTACGTTTCTATGCTCCAGGCCCAGCAGATGACCATGCAGGCCATTGCAATTCAGCAGCAGATGCTGTCCTCCTTCCCCCCTGTTGCCCCGGCGCCCCAGTCACCGCCATCCCATCAGCACGCACACGCGCCGCAGCGCTCCCGCACACCCAGCCCCGTGAGTCAGTCCACCTGATGCTTTCTGCCCCGGCATTAAAACTGCAAGCATCTGCAGCCGCTTCATTTTGTGTCTTTCAGGCCAAAGAGAGCGACGAGACCCAGAAGCCCAGCTCTGCTGCAGCTCAGCGGAAAACGAGTAACGCCTCCCGCCTCTCGTGTTCTGCGTGTGTTCTGTGTGTTTGCTTGATGTGATGGAAAGTCATATTGCAGGTCCAACGCGTGGCCCACCTCCCGAGGACGTGGTGCGATCCAGTGTGAGCAACTCGGAGCGCATGGACCCCAGCCACGACATCAAAGACATCATCAAACAGCACCAGCCCGCAGGAGCCACCCCCTCTGCTGGCTCCCCCACACAGAGGTAACACACACAGGACTCACACAGGATGTTCCAGTCTAAAACTTGCGAGGCAAAATCATTTTTATGAGCTATTGTTATGGCTCTGTAAAGACCACTTTGATGGGTTTGCAGGAAAAGTGACGGAAAGATGTTCGTGAAGAAGCCCGACCCCCACGACGAGGCTATGGAGATCCTCAAAGATCAAATGTCAAACCCACCCCAACCGGTACGACACACAGCACGACACAGTCCTCTGTCCTCACAAAAGATGCCATTACATCAAAACTTTATGTTGAATTTCAAGTGTATATGATTGTTTTATTTTTTTCGTAAGTCTCAGAGGAAACCTCAGCCCTCCCAAACAAAAGAGGAGGGAGGAGTAAAGGTTACCAAAGCAGCCAAGGCTCGTCCTGCGGGGCCAAGCAGCTCCAATTTAACCCCCATTCATCCTCCAGGTGGACTTGATTTATGATTTCTGAATAACAAACTGCAGGGCAGATAGAAAACCCCACGCATTTCACAAAGATGGGTTACATTTATGGGAAGATCCTGCTCTGGTGTCATTTTGTTGTAGTTTCTAGAGATTTACCAGTAGAGGAGGAGAGCATTCAGACTCAGCTCCACAGCAGGACCAGTGAGGAATACTACACTTACTCCAATGTTCCGTGGAAACTCTACATGAGGAAGGAGGTGGGTCTCCAGACAGTTTCCTTTTAATGTCTTCGTTACTATAACAAATATATGAAAATGCACTCCTATCTTTGATAAAAATAAATACCTTGGATGGATGCTTGATTACTCTCATTTCTGTCTTTGTTTGTAGGTTTTCTACCCAAAAGAGACCCTGAATAATCCCCTGAACCTGGAGCTGATCTTCAAACAGGTCATTCAGACAAATAAGGGATAATTGTTATGTTCACATTGTCTCATTTACCCTAGATACTTATTAATGAGTTTCATATAATTTCCGAATGAAATCATGCACTTTTAAAGGTCTTGTTTCATCAGTAAAATAGTCTCTCATTCTTGTTTGATATAGAATTTCAGTTGCTCACTTCTATATATACTTTTGCTTCCAAATAGACCAAATCCTTCCAGTTGGTGAGAGGTTTTTACAGCACCTAAACCAGTGTAACACCCAAACCATGGCATTTAATGTACAATTGAGCATAATTTTTGTGGTATTTCTCTGGTGTTTTTGACCACTCTAGCTACATTTGAGTGGTGAACAATGCAGGCTATAGTCACATCTCTCACACATAGTCCTTCTTGATTCATTCATATCCCTGCATGTGTGTATTGTTTGCAGGTTGTGCATGACACCTTCTCCGAGGCTTGCATCCGCATTACCCAAGAAGAGAGGCAGAAGATGAAAACTCTGCTTAGTAGGAATAAAACAAACTTATTTCTTTACTCCTGAGTGGAAAAGTCACGATTCGTGTTTGTTGATTTTTGTTGACTTTTGAGCTCTTTGATGAGTCGTCCTTTCTTTCTCTACGACAGCCGAGAACAAAGTGGACCAGACCTCCGGAACCAACGATGAGAATGTGATGAAGAAAGTGGTCGCCATGGCAAAAGACTCATGGGAAATCTACTTCTCCCGCCTCTTTCCAGCCTCTGTGAGTCTTTTTTTTTCTTAGCCAGTATGGGTTCAACTCAGGGAGCATTTGCTTCTATCTAGATGGATCTTAAAGGAATTCCATCTTCCATCTTGTCCTGAATGAGTTTCAGCCTTTTGTTGCAGGACGTTTTGGTTATGTTGTGTGTGTGTGTGTGTTCTTCCAGGGCAGCGTAGGGACCGGCGTGCAGGTGCTGTCTGTGTCTCACAAAGGGATCAAGTTGCTGAAGCTGGTGAAGAGCGGCTCCGCGGCTTCAGACTACTTCAGAGTGCTGAGACCCTACAGGTGAACCTCATGGGAAAAGAAATATGCAAGCTGCAATGCTGCCTTACTTTTTTTAGTGGAATGCGTGAAAAAATGCAGCCTTTTACAGCAGTGTGTTACATCCCACATGTCCAGCTGCCCTGACTTGTGATTTGAAGTGGATTTCCTGGTTTGTCCTATGACTTCCTGTGCAGCTACTCGGACATCCTGTTTGTGTCTATCCCATCTAAGAACATGCTGGAGTTCAACCTGACCAACGAAAAGCTGATCCTGTTCTCTGCCAAGGCTCCGCAGGTCAAACACATGATTGACTACTTCCTCACAGAGCTCAAGAAGGTCAGAGACACTTTAGGATTGAATAGTACATTTTGATCAGACAGCTATATTTCTGTTTAACCATCAATATTGGTGCATTGTTGAATTTATTGGAACCTATCTTTTTAAGTCAAGGAAATGTATATTTTTGACTGAACTGACTCAGGGTTCGTCATCTCTACAGCTTAAACATTTCTCAAACTTAAAGTTTTCTGTTACATATGTTGTGTATGATGAATTACTAAAGCCTTTTTTACAATACTCTGAATCTATAAATGGTATGGGATATTTCTCAGAGGGGATGCCTCTTGAACAAAAACTGGTGGCTGGGCCTGAGTTACATTTATTCTATTAATCTCTAAAATAGAATTACAGTTCAAAACCTTTTGAAATTGCATCGTTGTTAGTGTGCCCACTGGATATGGCTTCCTTTCATTGTCAGGACTCCGAATATGTGGTGGCTGTGAGGAATTGCATCACTGAGAACAGGACGCAGCTGAGCTTCCACAAAGGGGACATCATCAGATTGCAGCACATGGACGGGCTGGAGACCGGTAAGATGCAAAAGAAGTCACAGATGTGTTTGTGCAAACACTGTGATTTTTACCAATTACAAAGTGTCCAACAATGTGTGTGTGTGTGTGTGTGTTAACCAGGAAAACATTACGGTTGCATTGTGAGGAAGAAGGTCATGCTTCTGGAGGAGCTAAAGAGGGACACTCCTGACTTTGGTGGGTGTGCCAAGACAGTTGTTTATTTATGTTTTTTCAAATGATTAATTAGTTTAAATCTGTTGTGTTTCTCTGTTTTTTTTTTCTATTTTATCAATTTAATTGTTTTGCTTTTGAAAGCCTAAGAAATGTAAAACATTTGATATTTGGAGATTTTGGTATGGCTGCATGAAGCAGTATTTACTGCACTGTAATGTCTGCATGGAAACACCCAAACCAGGCTACAGTTCTCCTGATATTTGGACTTTCTGCTTCTCAAATAGGCTGGCGGTTTGGGGCTGTGTACGGAAAGTCGGGGGTGTTTCCCAGTGATTACGTCCATCCAGTGGCTGCTCCAGACTTCTTGATTCTGCCCGCTGACCGTGTGGAGCCTCGAGACCGGCAGGGGCGAGTTGCTGCATCAGCTGCTGTTGCCGTAGCGATGGGCTCCTCAATTGCTGCGCATGAGCTCGACCTCTCAACAGAGGTGCACGCTGGGCACTTGTCTGCCTATTGAGCACCAGTTGCTTTAGCATAATTCTGATTTACTTTTTTGGCTCCATTACAACATTTTGGCTTTGTATGTGCGTTATCAGGTTGTAAATGAAATGTATGGGGATGGCCTGATCGCTGAACTGGACGATCTGCCTCTGCACAGCAGCCAGTTTGACATGACTGAGTTTGCCAAGAAGTATTTCAGAGAAGCTCAGAGGAACAAGGGGTCAGTAACATACTCACTCACGTGTGCTTTGAAAATATTGCCAAAATGTTTACATTTTAATCCCAGTTTGCTCTAATTAAATGGACATGGAGGCCCAGATGTCTCAGATACATTTATGTAACTGTCTGTGTTCCCCTCAGAGATCAGAAAGCCAAAAAGGGGAAGGAAGGGAGAGATCCTTCAGATATGATCAAATTCTCTAAGGTGACGCAGCACGCTTTCCAAATGAAACTATTCTTACAGTGCTGTGCAAAAGTTTTGAGCCACCCTCTGTCTATGCTAATGGTGCTGTGCCTGTGAAAAAAGGCTGTTTGTTGGTTTGTTTAATCAGTATTTAGCTCTAATACATACTTCTTTAACATATTTGTCTCTCTAGTCTCCGATCCAGGAGTCTCTGATTGATTTTTCTGACGCTGGGATGAACAGAGTGGCTGCTGACATCTTCTTAGGTATGAGAACAGAACAACAAATTAAAGAACCACTTTGAGGTTGAATTTTTAGTTTCATCATCTGAATCAAATGTCATTCGTTTGTGTTTTTGTTTTTTACTTAGAAAAGCTTCAAAAAGCTTTAGAGTCATCACTATTTGCTCAATCTCCATCTAAAGGCACTGATAATTTGTTATTTTCATCCAGCTATCATGAAATTCATGGGGGATTTCCCGCTGAAAGGCCAGACTGAACAGGAACTGGTCAGCGTTATACTGAAGGTACACGGACTTGAGCTGAATTTCTACTCCGGAAATCTGAAAATAAACTGTATTTCTGGGTTTCATAAACTGGATGGATGTGCATATTTGCCATTTGTGCTCTTAAATCTAGCTAAGCGGTGACCACGGTCTTATAAAGGATGAAGCCTACTGCCAAGTGATGAAGCAAGTAACCACCAACACCAGCTCCAAACCGTAAGCCGTCCAGCTTAGAAGCCGACCATTCCTGAGGAGGTGGTGGAGAAGCTTCAATCGGTTTCTGTGTGTTTGTTTGAGCAGCGACAGCTGCCAGAGAGGCTGGAGGCTGATGTACATCCTCACGGCGTTCCACCGCTGCTCTGACGTCATGAAGCCGTTTCTGCTGAAGTTTCTGCAGGATGCCTGTGAAGCTCCCGGGATGCCGTACCAAGGTACACAGTCCATCTATCCAACCCTCCATCAGCATCCACTCTGCCTGAAATCAAACACACCAGGCGGTCGCTTGTTTATGAGGCCGAAAGTTTACTGGCTGGTGCTCTTCATTGACAGGAATTGCCAAGGCAAGTGAGCAGAATCTGAGGAGGACTTTCCAATACGGTGGACGTGTGCAGTATCCCAACAGCATGGAGCTTAAAGCTATGCTGGTCAGTTACCATTTCAATCTGTCCGAGTTTCCAAATATGCAACCAAACAAAAACTCTAATAAAACTTTAATTTAGAAACATGTATTTTTCATCAGAAAAACGGCATGAAATTATAAACCAGATAGTGTAACCCTAGTCATTTGACTGAAAAATCTCATTTATAAATGTATTCAAAGTGAATCAGGTCCAATGAAAACAATATTACCCATTTCATTCAGCCTCTTTATGAAACACAGAATGAGTAAATCTGGCCCATGTTTGGACTTTTATATGACAAGATTTGTCTGCTGTTCGATAATAATCTCTCTGTTTTCTCATGTAATTAGTATACCACTTCAGGTAAACTCAGATGTTTGTTTTTAGTTTGGATAACAGGCAAATTAGACATAGTGCTTTATCAACTCTTAAATGTTATACAAACTGTCATTTTTCCTCTACTGGTGGCCAATTTCTAGCTCAAATGGGACTCAATTTAGCAGAAGATTTAGTCTCACTTACACAAGAGAGTGATTAATTTTTTTTTTCTCTCTGATTGGTTTTCTGTGTGCAGGCTGGGCGGAGCTCCAAGAGACAGCTGTTCCTGCTACCAGGTGGGATCGAAAGGCATTTAAAAATCAAGACATGCTCTGTAAGTGCAACACACACACACACACTGCAACCCAACAATGCTCAGTGAAATTGAATTAATTGAATTAATTTTTAAAGATTAGCATCAAAGTAAATGAAATACCACTTAAACCAAACAATTAGGAGCAGATGGACAGTACCTTTGACTGTATGCAACTGAGAAAAAGATCACGCTCCACTTTTATTGCTGACGATGGAAATATCGCTTGTTGACAGTGAAACTTTTTTGTGGCAGGTTGCTTTGGATGTGATTGAGGAGCTTTGCTTTGAGATGGGCCAGCAAAGGCTGGAGGCACTGGACGAATATGCAGTTTTTTTGGTCACACACAGAGGTAAGAAGGGTCTGTCAAACAGACATAGAGGTTAAAGAATGAATAGATGATGAGAGCGATTTGCCTGTGCAGGTCAGAATGTCCGTCCCCTAAACAAGCGCGAGTACATCCTGGACATCGCTACGGAGGCAGAGCCAGTGGACGCCAGCTACAGTCTTTGGTTCAGACGAGTCATCTGGAGTTTGGCTCTTAAACTTGACAATGAGCTCTATGTCACCATGCTCTATAACCAGGTACAGCCCCACTGTTACACCCACTGTTACGCTCACAGTAACAGACTCAATCATAGCATGAAAGGGGCAGAAATGTTGGATCATACTGTACCTTGTGTTAAAGCAGCTCTATTTGTTGCGTATTGTTGGAAAAATCCTTGACGCAAAATCTTCATCTCGCATGCGTTCTTTTCCAGGTGTTGCCAGACTATCTGAAGGCCTTGCTGAGTGTGGTTCCTCAGGGTAAGGTCAGTGAACAGCAACTGCAGCAGATTGCCCGGCTGGCAGCCCTACAGCACCGTGCCAAGGACACCGTCTACCTGCCAACGCTGTAAATACACTCACGCTTTTGTTGTGTTTCAATTTGTTTTCGTGATGCATCGCTGTGAACCCTTGCTATTGTTTTGTAAACCTAAACACAATGGAAGGATATGCACTTATTTATGCGTCTTTTATCACATTATGCTCATTAGTGGAATATAATACATTCCCAAGTTTCAAAAACAATGTCAAAGTAAATGTTAGACTGCCCGCTTTATTTTGCCATTTTACTCTATCTTACTTTCCCCTGTTCAGGGTTATAAATGGCCGCCTTCCTTTAAGTTACTTACAGCTTTCTTTTGTATGTGTGTTTAGCCGTGAGGTGCAGGAGTGTGTCCCCCCTCAGTTCTATAGCAAACAGGGTTCACAGACGTGGCTGAATATCACGACTCAGCACATGCAGCAGATCCAGCCGTTAAACCCACACCAGGCCCGTGCGCAGTTCCTTGGTAAGAGCTTCTGTAGGAATATGCATTTATCGTAAAATAAAGATGCATCAAAGTTTTCAAGGAAAAACGTCTGTTTCTACAAAGCTGACTAACACAAAAGTGGTCATAAAATTGAGTAGCAGAATTGTTGTGGTGTAGTAGACTGCACCAGAGAAGGTCGTCTTGATGCATTCATTGTTTTGGACAGCACCAATTGATTGAAATCTCTTTCTACCATTGGGGGGTCTAGGTCTGGTCAGTGCCTTCCCCATGTTTGGCTCCTCCTTCTTTTACATCCAGAGTTCCAGCTCTTCTTCCATCCTCGCCCCATGCATCCTGGCTGTTAATCTCAATGGGTTGCACTTTCTTAACAAGGACACTCATGTAAGTGGCACACTACCCCTAAACGCCTCAAAGGCCCTGCGCCTTCCTCCAAAGTTGAAGGGGTGCATGCATCCGTGTTAAGCCTGTTGTCACTCTTTCCATTTTAAAACATTTATTTCAATTAATTACTTCCAAACAATTAATTAGGCTCCCCCTGCTGGTTAAACTTTTTACTGACCGTATACTTCCATAAGGTGTCTATGTGCTTTGGTTTTTGCTTTTCGTATTTGTGTTCCACCGGGTTATGATTTGGAAGCATGTGTGTGTGTGAGCAGGAGACCATGGTGCGTTTCCCCCTGAAGGAAGTCCAGTCAACTCGCACTCAGAGACCAACTTCAGGCTCCAGTTACCCCTACGTGGAGATCATGATTGGAGACCTGCTCAACCAGAGCATAACACAGCTGCAGCTGGAGCAGGTGTGTGTAAAAAAAAACACAATAAATACCCAGAAAAAAAGAGAACATTTGCGCACAGTTTTCTATCATCGCCACAATATATGACGTATACCTATTATTGCATGGCTTGAGTTCAGGATTTCATAAATAGAATCCCGTGGTTTGACGTGTGTGTCTCTGGGTGTGTTTCCCAGGGCCTGGAGCTGTGCCGAGTCATTGCCATGCACATGGAGAACATGCTGTCGCTCAGAGAAAAGAGACTCACCTTGCCACCAAGCGAAATCACCCTGCTGTAACACTATGCTGTAGTCGATGGAAGAAAACATTTACAGCTGTAAATGTCCTGTACCTACCTCCGTTTTTAATATAGAATGTTTGATACATAAAGGCAACAGTCATGAGGGGCAAGGCATCTATGATGATGAGGTAAAACACATGTAATTCAGAAAATTATTTTACTTTTTTCAATCTAGCAGAAAAAACATCAATTGTCTCAGTAATGAAGAAATAACACAAATCAGATGTGAAGTTAATTTAAGTTATTCTGAAATTAACGTGAATGCGTTTTTTGCCATGATACATAATTTTTTATCAGACGTGGATTTTCATATAAGAGTAGCCTCATAAATCAAGGGGGTTATTATTAAGGGTTTTTAATATATAAACAGAAAGAAGGGGAGGGCCTCTGTGATGAAGTCAGGGTCAAAGCATTAACACAGAAACATATTGAAAGATGCCAGTCCCGGCACATAAAGTTTTAGTCCACAAGACCAACAAAAATTGCACAAAATGAATTTTTAGTAATACATTGCATATAATGTAAATAGCCGTTGTACATAACTAAAGCCTGTAGATAATTATGTACATTAAAGTTTGTACTATTACTGGTTATGAGAGGTGGCTGAGTCATGTTCTTATTTCAAACAATTAATTAGTCCAAAACAATTATGGCAAGTAATTCCAAATGCAGCATTAATGAGAACCATTGGGGGGACAGAAAAAAACATAGAATAATTGTGAGATTATTTTTTAATTACTTTTATGACATCAGAAGGAGAATGTAATTGCCCTCAGCTTCAATCTGCCAATTATTTAAGCATTTCTGGAGAGATTCAACAGCCCTTCAAGGAGGACAAAAATAGAAAATTAGTAATAATTCGAGAAGGTTTCAGCTCAAATATCCAAGAATACTACGTTTCCGCGTAGTGGCAAAGCAGGAAATATGATATAATTACAGGAACAATTCCAGGTGAACTTGTCAAGTTTTATTAAGTCTCTTTTGGCTATTTTTTCCTGCTCGTTTAATTTGCTGTTAATGACACACCGCTTTCCGTCGTTTGCCGTTATTTATGGGGCGCTCGCTCTCTCGGTGTGTCCCACAATTCAAAACAAGCGTCCCTTTCCGAGGTGCTCTACTGTGTGGGCGTTTCTGGGCAGTTTCTCGCAGATTTCTTCGCCCTCATTGGACAACAATAACGGGGTTCGTGTGAACCGGGAAGAGGAGGGGGCCGTGGTCAAAAACCACCACGACCTAAGCAGCACCAGAAGGGAGAGGAGAGGCGTCGCTGCTGCAGCCACAGCTGTAACCCCACTTGCAGCCTGCATGGGCTAGTCCGTTAGTTAGCTTAGCATCGTCCGCCTGCGCCGAGCCGCCGAGAACTCCGGCTTCTTATCTCCGCTTTTTCCCTCTCCGTCCCACCCGCTCCCGCTCCCTCTACCCGGCTTAAAGATGATGAAGTTCAGGTTTCGTCGGCAGGGCACCGACCCCCAAAGAGAGAAAATAAAACAGGAGCTCTTCGCCTTCAACAAGGTAAAGTAAATGGGGTTGGCGGGGTTTCCTCCCGTTCTGCTGCTATCCCCCCCCTTAAAAAAAAACAAGCTAAAGGGGCCGTTTCTCTGGAAACGGGAGCAGACATGAAGCGGGGCGCCCCGCTGCACGCGCCCCGGCTGCTCGCGCGCGTTCCCGTTCGTGCTCCGGCCGGAGAGACACGGAGGGAGCCGAGTTAGTGCCGCTCAGTGATGGGGCTTCAGCGGGGCGCTTTGTTGACGCCTGTTTGTGGGGGGGTGGGGGGTTCAGAAGTCCCCACGGCGTGCTCACGGGCCTGCAGTCAAAGTGACCAACACGTAAAAAAACAACGAGAAACCGCATGTGTTTTCAGCCGGTCTTACTTTAATTAGCCTCCTATAAACAGTTGTCAGTGATAGGGATTAGGAGATTTCAGATCCGGGAGATTAAGCTCATGAACGGGCTGTTGCAGCAGTCTGGGTCGTTTGAGCCCCCCCCACCCCAATCCCCCGGAGCCACGTTCATCGGAACGGCTCTGCTTGTTTACGGGCAGAACCATGTTTCAGTTTTGGTGGCTGTCCGGGGGTGTCGGGTTTCCTGCTCCTCATCCCATCTCCATGGACTCGGACCAGTCCACGTTAACGCTCTGCGCGCTCCTTTTGTTGCCTCTCACAGGTGGTGGCCGTTACCCCTAAAGACTGCAGATATATTTAAATCAGTATTTTTAGAGCTCCTGAGCAGAACAGCGTTCAGATCCACTTTCAGTTTGCTGGATCTTCTCACCTTGACCACAGTCAAACATGCTGTAAAAGCAGGCTGCTTCTGTTTGTTGTAGACATTAGGCTTTTCTGTTGTAATATTCTGGATGAACCAACATTGCATTTGTGCTGCACACTTGTACAGACGGTTGCAGAGCGCCGCGGCCTTGAACCTGGCTGAGCCGAGGCTGCTGTCACCCCAGAGTCCTGCAGATAGCAGGGCTGTCCAAACATCTGATGTGGAAATGTTTATCAAGCAGCTGACGCGACCACATTTCATTTATCAGCCGGAGCTCTCACAAATGTTGTGTGCAGCCAGATGGTTTCTATTTCACTGTTGCCTTTTGTTCCTAATCCCACACGAAAACCAGGTTCTTTTCTCTGAAGTGGTTCTCTGAGACAGAGCCCTGTTGCGTCCTGCCCGTACCGAGCAGTGTGTGTTGTTTCAAGCCATTCTAAATTCGAGGATGATTTCTGTGCTGTATCGTAGCGGTTTGTTCTGAAACCGAACAGAAAAATGTGGTCTCAACGCCACCCAAAATGTTTTCAGCCTTGTTTTGATTTTTGTCTAATTTTGAGTTGTTTTTTGTTTTGTTGTTGTCAGGAACGGTCAGATATGATGTGTGCTTTTTTAATAGTTATTGATGGAAGTGTTGTACAATCCTGGTGAGCAGTGGAGGTTTCCGGGGACCACCTTCCAGTGGTCCACCTTAGCCTCGAATCATGAGGACTGCTTGTAAATCGGTTCAGTGAGGGGCTATTCACTCTGGACCTGAACTCGTAGAGTTTTGCTGAGTTTGAATGTGTCGGGCCGGTTCTTGTGAAGTGCGCTCCCCGTGTCTGAGGTCCTTAAACTGTTTGTTTTGCCGAGACGACACACACACAGACCTTTTCTGTACCAGCTGCTGGAACTGACACAAGGGTGGTCTGTCCACAGGAGGCTCACTTTGATGTGTGTGTGTGTGTGTGTAATCCGGCTGGCACTTTAAAGAGAGCCAGTGTTTTTTAACCTCATATATGACACACAGGCTCAACAACCAGTTGTAGTTTTGGGTCAGAGGTGCTCGAAGCCCCCCCCCCCCAACATTGCACGTTGCCCTTTAAGCCAGGTTTCCTGGTTTTTCTCCCTCTCTCTCTTGCGCTGAATGCTTTCCCAGCTGTCTGCCATCTCCTGACATGGGCAGGAAAAAAAAAGCTGTGAATTTCTGTTAATCCCATTTAACAAGGCCCAGTAAAACACTGTGGTGAGATGGCGTGGCTGCCACTCGGCGGTGTTTTAAAAAGATTTTCCCTCTTATTTATGAAGGGAGTCGTCCTTTTCGGCGCCCTGGCTGATTTCTGTTGTTTTCTGGTGCTCTGTGAGTGCAACACTCCTGTGACAGCGGTTTTTGTCGTTAATTAGTCTTAATTTCTAGTGTTTTTGTGTTGATATCCTGGCCCCTGATCTCTGCCCTCTTCCTTGCAGACTGTGGAGCACGGCTTCCCTCACCAGCCCAGCGCTCTGGCCTTCGACCCCAAGCTGCAGCTGATGGCCATCGGCACAAAGTCAGGAGCCATTAAAATGTATCCTTCATCATCCCTGAGCCTCTGTATGGGGCAGATCGCTGCGGTGGCGGCATCACACTCACAACTCAGCCAGAATTCTATGCGATCACTGACAGAAAGACCCACAGATATTTCCATTGAACAGGCAGCGTTTTAAGGTATTGTCTGCTGCTTGTTGTGGTGAGCCTCTCTAAGGCTGCACAGATCCAGTTCTCCTTCCTCTGCTGTCAGTTTTGTGCCTTTTGATGTGCCTCTTTGTTATCTCTACATCGGCTCCAGTGCCGTTTTTCCAGCAGCTCTGAGCTTTCACGCATCCTTCTCACATTTGAGTCGGGGTCGTGGGACACCAACATCCGTCTCTTGAAGTTTTGTCGCCCATTTGGCTTTATCGGCACTTTCTCACCACTCTGTGCTGCCCCTATCCAGCTTCTCGGGCATCTAGCCTGAACTCTGGCTTTTGAGGAAGCGGGTTGGGAAATATTCTGAGATTGGAGGTTTGTTTACTATCGGTGGAATGGTTGCGTCACTCCTCTCCCGTGCCTTTAAACAGCACCAGAACACAGTCTAAACAGCCTTAAGTGGATGATGCTTCTTTTCGGAGGCTCGGAATACCATAAATGCATTTTTGGGCGTGTGGTCGGCAGGAATCACTCCTCACTCTGGCAGAGGCAGCGCCGGATTCTGCTAAGACACGGAGGGAATCTGTAATAGGAACGAGTGTCGGTTTGGCCTCAGAGGTGCATTGCAACAAAACTATAATTTGGCTCTGGGTGTCAGAAATTCCAGCTGCCCCGAGGCTTCTGCGGCCCCCGGGAGGCACGTCTGCGACTTGTTGGTTTCCTCCTGCCGCTCTCTGTGTTGCTCTGCCTTTTCTTTAGCTTTTTCCCTCCCCTTCTTCAACGTAGCAGCTGCTGTTAAAGGTGTGCACCGGCCCACTCCGGGTTAGGGGGCTGCTCCTGCTCCGCGCAGACACACGAGGCGGCAGAATCAACCCTTTGAGATGTGGCTTTAAGAGACGGAGGCTGGCCGTACCAGGCTGCCGCAACCCCCGAGAGAGACGGATAGAGGGAGAAGGGAAGGCATAGATGGAGATAAACGGAGGCAGCAGCGAGAGGGGAGTGTGAAGGAGATGGATAGGGAGGCAAAATAGCTTCGCTACACGTTCTGTAGATTCTTGTTGGACACCACAGAAGCCACACGTCAGCCTGCAGGGTCTGAGCTGCTGCTCCAACTCCCCAAAAGAAAATGAAGACACCAGAGAGTTCCGTCATTTATTGAGAATACTTCAAATGCAAATCATCTCTGGCTGCAGAGCAGAGCGCATTCTTTGAAAGCCGTTCACAAGAGAACGATGTGTGCAACCATGACTGCCTCCAGGTGCTAGATTCTTCCAGTTTGTTAAGGGCCCCTGGACTCTGTGAAACTAGATCATAGAACTTCTTTGGGGATTCACGCAGTGGCTCCTCCAAAGTGCGTCCGCGGTAATCAGGAGCTGATCTGGAAGTTGAAGCAGATTACACTGCTGTTATTTATTTACTCTTCTCTCTGTGGAAAAGGCTTTGTGTGCTTTTTTCTACAATAAACCAGATCTTTGTTACTGAAGGTAGATTTTGATTTGCTTTGAGTAAAAAAAAATATTAATAAAACCTGGCAGCTGTCAGAACACGTGCAATGAGGGCCAAGAACTTGTACCTGTTTTTGGAAGAGATTTCTACCACGTAGCTTTGGTAAAAGATATTGTCATAGTTCTTTTCATCGTTGTATACTATGTTTTGTCTACCGAGCTTCCCGAGCTATTTATCAGACCCTTTCAGGGGATTCCTCTTGACAAGCTGGACGATAAACTGCCTACAAGTATTTTGGCCGGTCTCCTGATTCCTCCTGGCTTTCGTTTTTGGGGTTCAGTTGTACGTAGTTTCTTTTTCTTAACGTGTGTGTAGCTGTTGTTTTTTTTTGTTTTTTTTTGTGGTCCACATTGCCGATAATCTTCCAGACTCTCTGACTTTGGTTTGACCTAAACGTGACTCCCAACATATCTTGCTTCCAGCCCGTTGGTGCCAGCCGTGCGGTTCAGCTCTCCCTCGCCCCGCGTCTGAGTGGTCCGTGGAGTCTATGGTGTAATGGGACCAGTAAACTTTATTGACTCTGTTACAAAGTAGGAGGTGGAAACGGCCAAAGCTGTGGTGCTTGTTCAGTGTGAACCTTCAGCTCCCCTTCCTGGCACGGAGGGGGTCCTATCCTCTCCTCCTCTCCTCTCCTCCCGCTCACATGTGTTCTCTCTCAGCGTCTCCCTCTCTCCGGCTCTCTCCTCTTCTCCTTCCCCTCTTCCCGACGTGTTTATGAAGGCAGAGTCATGTTACACTCTGAGAGTTTCTGCGTCGACCACAGACTCGGGCTCGGCAGAGGGAAAGGGGACAATGTGGTGTTGGTTTTGTTTTGTTCTCTGTGTGTGCGTGTGTGGACAGAAACCGTGTGTGGGGGAAGGGGGGAGAGATCTGGAGGAGTCTGTCTCCTATCCTGGAATGCGTGCTGCGCTGCCCTGGGTTAACCTCCCAGTGTGTTCTGTGTGCGTACGCGCACGCCGCTGTAGATTGGGTGAGTAAGAGCTTTGTTGCTGAGTCTAGTCTTAATAAAGGGAGCTTTTGAAACGGTTTCCAAGACGACCAGTGCAGTTGCCTAGGAGGAGAAGTGCCTGCAGCCCGGAGGATTTTAAAACTCTGCAGCCCGGCACATCCGACTGCGGGAGCTGGCTGTTTAAAAGCGCAGCAGTGAGAACGTCTGAAAACGCCGGCTGTAGGTCTGGAGGACCTGCTCGCAACACCCCCCCCCCCCAAGGGCGGCGGTCTTGATCCAGGTGATCCTGGTCTTGCTGAATCCCACAGAAGTGTGGAGTCCGAAGCCTCTGCACCGGGCAGCCAGAAGATGAGCTAATGCTCACACACCTGCAGCCGAGCTTTGATCTGAGTGTGTTTGAGCGTTCTCCAGCTGGCTGCCCTCACCCAGTCTGTCTGTCTGTCTGTCTGTCTGTCTGTCTGTCTGTCTGACAGACATCCTGTTGGTCACACACATCACATTCAGTATCCACCAGTTGTCCTCCAAATCATCCAGTATTAATTCCAGCCTCTCAGCTGGAATGCAGAGCAATGTAACGTGGAGATTTTTTTTTTTTTTATTCCCAAAATGTTCCTCTGAATGACTTAATTCCTGTCACTGTGGTCAGAGCAGTTTGCAAATGTCACAATATGATTCTGATCTGGGAACCTCCCAATTAATCAGCACTTTCAAAGAATGAGTCACATGCAGACTGATGGCGATTGGAAAGAAATCAAGGTCTGCTTTCCAGTTTCTCATCTGTTTTAAGATTAACGTGAAGGACCCTCAGGATTTTTAAATGGCCTACCAGCTCCTACGATCCCTCAGCTGTGACCACTATTTGATATTTAACTAATCAGATTAATCTTTGAAAGCCTAATGCAATGTGTTTGGTAGAGTGTATTTAGTGCCATCTATTGTCAAAGTTTCAGATTGGAACCAAGTGACTAAGCTCCCCTAACCTTCCCCTATTCCCCCACCTGTCACAAATGATTCAACTCATCAATACTGGTCCTTCTGGGAGTTTTAAGTGTCACACTTAAGTTTCACAACCTTTCCCCAAATGAAGAACTGGGGGGTCACAGGATGAGGAGCCCCCCAGGGGTTCACTTTTAACTGTATTTGGATCGCCAGCTTGTCACTGCACCTCCATTTACCCCCAACCTGCTTAAGACATGGCACCAGCATCAGATGATTCTAAGACCTGGTGCTCGGCCCCAACTAGCCCAGGCCTTCATTTCATCCAGCAGATCCTCATGCATGGTTGGTCGATCTTTTCTTACCTCTGAGCAGGTCTTCTCCTGCTCCCTTCCCTTGTTCGTGATCTTTTCTGGGCAGTGTGTCCTGCTGCTTAATCTCTTACTTTTGTCTTCAAAACTTTCTCAGGCTGCTGTTTCATCCTTTTAATTTCTCTTTAGTCTGTCTTTGTTTCTTTTAGTCTCTGTCCCTCTGTCTTTAACACCCTCCTCCTTGATATTCCTGAAGACGGGCAGGACCTTTAAACCCCCCATTTGCCTTAGGCTTTCTCTGTCCTTTTCTAAATCACCCCTCATGCTCATCTCTCATGTGTTTGGGCCGTGCTGGCCTCCTAACCCCCACACCCGCGCACATAAATGAATGGACACATGCACTTTGGCAAATAGCTGTCTGAATAAAGGGTTGGCGGTCTCGCCAAGTTGGACCCAGTAGACGGGCTCTTCAGTGGAGCAGTTGGGCATGAAAAAAATGGCCTGAACCGGCAAATCCGTTATCTTGGATAAAGGATGAAAAAAACAAACTAGATGGTTGATATGTCATCCTGGTACTGATTCTGGTGTCGCCAGAAACTTTGCGGTTTTAAGGGTTTTTGATGACTCTGATTTTGTTGCTGTTGTTTGTTTACGGCCTGACAGACACGTGTATCTGCTTAATTTTTGTCTTCTTTGGGATTACGGAGTGCGTACTGTGGGCTGTTGTGAGGCACAGAGGATCTAAATCTGAAGGCTGGGATGCTAACGGGGTGGGATCGTTTCTCTAGTGGGTGGGTGGGTGGAGTTGCTTGGCTTGTCTTGTCCATTGCCTGATATATGTTCTGTTTTGTGTGGGGAGGAGTGAGGAATGAGAGAAAATGTGTTAAGAGACTAGTATCAAACCACATCACCTCTCTGGGTTATGTGATCCTTTTTTTTTCTTCTATGATGTATTTTTCATTTGACTTTTCATCAAAGCCTAATTTATTATCTCTCTGTGTGGTTCAGTGGTTCCCTCCTGTCCTTCTCAGTCTTGTGTTGCATTTATGTGTTTGTTCGAGGGTGTGGGCTGTGTGTCCGAATGGAGGACAATGCCTTCTGTTTGTCTGTATTCAGACCGTGAAATCGCTTTATCCTCGCTAACGCTCTCTCTCTGCATCACCGGGCAATTGCACTTGTCTCTGTGTGTGTGAGAGGAAGAGACAGTGATTCAGTGAATATGAGTTACTGTAGGGGCCCCATTGTGTGCGTTTCAGGGTCCTCTTGTGAGCAGTGCTGCGCCGCTTTCCACGTCGCACACAGAACATGCAGATCAGCACACTGAAGTCTGTGGGCGGCCGGAGAGTTAAATAAGCAATGCTGAGGTCTTCTCTCAGATCCTTTCCTAGATCAGCTCCATGTTTTATTAAACTTAAAACAGGACTCGTTACTTTAATCTGTATCCTGTTTGTGGATTTTAGCGAGACCTTTAGGCCTTTTAGAAAGTTTTTAGAGCCAAATACTTGATTATTGAGGAGATCCAAACATGGTTGTGTGTGTATCGCCAAGCCAGTGCTGATGTTTTAGAGAAGTGTTTTTCAATGTCAGAAAGATGCTTAGAATGACTTTAAATGCTGCTCTATTTAAAGGAGAGGGACATGATTATAAATTGATTAGCCTTTATTTACTGTTAATAATAACCTAAAGGCAGGAAAGCAAATATTTTGCCTTTACACGCATCAAACAGTAGAAAAATGTGTCATCAAAAGCTGTCACAAATGACAAATATGCAACAGAACTTAGAGACAAAGGTTCTTATCCCTGAGGGCGTTCATGAAGTATTTAAGCCACTTGGAGCCCATCTACAGTAAGGAGGTGGTGAAATTATCTCTGGGAACCCCTCTGCCAGCTGCCCTCTGACACACCGTCCTCAACCAGTATTTAGGCTTCTGTCTTTGTGGCGTGGAGTGTTCCTGACCCTTTATCAGGGGTGTTTTTGGAATAACACAGTTTGAAGTTTGAGACGCTCTGGCTTGGTTCATGTCAGAGGTCCAAAAGCCAATGGCTCCGATGCACTACTAAATAGCCATTAGTGGTCTTTGTTACTTTGTTCGCTGACAGCTTTTTTAGCCCAGGCTTGCGGGGATTGTAGTGTATGTGACGACAGAGCTGTGCCCGCCCCTTCATAGCTGGGACGGTCACCCAAACCACAGCTGCCCAGATGTTTCCAGCCCCTCTGATTGCCGTTGCACAGCTGTGATCTTCTGCACCCTCGTCTGAGGTTTTTTTTTTTTGTTCCTTGCTACTCTGGCTGTCTGAGGGGTGCTGCAGCGTTTTTGGGCCACAGTTTGTGGTTTAACTGGATTTTGCAAGTTGCATGCTCTGATGATACCACAATGTGACACATAGAGAGAGGTAGTTTTACTCTTTGTTCAGTGATGCAATGCTGAGTGACAATCAATATGCATGTTTTATTACTTCCTTAGATTGTATAACTTCTCTCCCTTTCCAAGCCTCAGGCGAAATCTAAAATGTATCTAAAAAAAGCTGAACTATTCATTCAATTTTCAAGCTGTAAAAAAGGAAAGCTGTAAATGAACCACAACTTGCTTATTTCAGCTCAGCCCTTTGTTTCCCTGCCTCTCTGATTCAGGCTGGCCCGTCATGACCCACAGACTAATGTTCCACTCACACCTTGGCTTCCAGCTGTCGGAGGCATGCGCTATTCGAGCGAATAAAACTGAGGGGCAGGAAGTGACAACACTGAGGAATGCCTGTATAACAGTCAGTCTGGCCTCCGGGGGACCGGGGTCTGGTGAGGGTTTTTTTTTATAGAGAGGTGAAAAAGTAGTGCAAAATACCCATCAACCTCCTGAGAAGTGGAGAAGAAGATGCTTGTTTTTGTTGATGTCTACTAGAGCCTTATGGGCCCCCCTTTCTGTTTGGCTATGATACATAATTAATAGCTGAAATGTTTGAAAAGAAGGGGAGCGGATGCTAAAGTAACTGGAAATGGGGCAGATACGTGCGCCTCCCTCTGGAATCAAACACAGAATGTAGAATAATGAACAGTTGACGACGGGCTCATTACAGAGAACAAACTTGACTTGAAAAATCTGCAGGTTTCCTCTCATTTTTCCGCATTTTTAAACCACATTCCTTCAGGCTTATGTAAGCGGTGCGTTTAAGTGCCGTCGGTGTGTAGCTTCTTGCGGATGTGTGTTGATGCACAAGTTAGCACAGTTGAGAATAGTCTTTATTTTATCATCTCAGCTGCATTTACCAGGAAAACAAAGGGAACTGGGAGAGGATTGATGCTGATTACACACCTGCTACACACACACACACTGGTCTTTATTTTTTTGTTTTTTTTACTGTGTGCGTCATCTGGGCTTGGTAATTACTATGAGCTTTGTGATAGAGCTCTAATTTCTCCTCTACTATTACTCCTAAACAGTACATGTCCTCCAGTTTGCAGCTCAGCCCTCCAACACTCTGTCCACCCAGTTCAATTTTATAGGGTTTTGGTTGGGAAAAAAAGAAAAAGCTGTCAGATATTCCATTCCTCTGTGTGTGTGTGTCTGTACTTTTTTTTTTTGCCTTGTTAATTTTTAATCATGCTATTTACATAATCTGACAACATTTTGTCATTTTTCTATTGCTTTTAGGATATCCTTGAATATTAAGCATCTGCGATGTGTTTGAGAAAAGTGTTAGATCACAAAGCTCTGCATGTTATGTTGCTCATGTATGTTTTACCAAGCTGTGCTCCAGTGTTCCTGATGGCTTCGCTACATTAGAGGCCTATGATGAACACCATTGTCCCGGTTATGAAACATATGTGCATGAATCTTTAGTCCACAAAGTAAAATTCTGTTACTGATATGGATTTCCACAAAAAAAAAAACAACTTATAGAAAATGGATTGATTAAGGTGAAAATAGTGCACAGCTGTCGCCGCCCTCAATTTGACATTATCTGTGAATAATTGTTTTCCGTTCCCTTGCAATCGTGCACAAAAACGCACGTTTGATTCGTGGATTTCCTTGACGGGATCCTTCCAGCTACGGGGCGCCCGGCGTGGAGGTCACAGGACTACACAGAGACACTACCGCTGTCACCCAGATCCACTTCCTGCCCGGTCAGGTGAGTCTACGTCCCTCTTGGATATGGAGACTCAGTCAGGAACCGGATCTTAACGTCATAAACGAAGCGCGGCTGTGGTGACGTCTGCTCCGCTTTTAGGGTCGTCTTCTCTCCCTGCTGGACGACAACACCATCCATCTGTGGGAACTGGTCGCCGGGCCTCTGCGAGAGGTGGGAGGGGTTAGGAAAGAGGGCGTGGTCTCTCTCCAGGAAGTGAACAGCTACAGCCTTCCAGGAAGACCTGGCATCGAGAGCTGCAGGTAGCTGAGATGATTTAACCACCATTAGTTTTGGAAAAAAATCCACCATCACTCTCTTCACCCAGCTCAACCATAATTTTTTTGATTTGCTCTGTCGTCTTTTCCCTGTGTCCTTACAGCGCTACCCGCGTGACTGTCCTACTCCTGCTAAGGTCGTGTGACCTGCTGTGTTTGGGAACAGAAGGAGGGGGCGTGTACTTCCTAGAATTGCCGCATCTCTCACTGAAGGAGAAGCAGACCCTGCTCCAAGATCAGGTCACGCAGAGGTGAGACGACTTCACATGAAAGGTGAAGCAACAATTAAGCATTCAGTATTTGAGCACTCATCACTGCGTCTGCGACCGTTATGAAAACTGACGGATGAAGTCCTCTGTGGTCTCATGATGATGAATTATGCAAAGACGGTGGCTGTTTTGTTCTGGTTGGGCGCTCTGCCGCACAGTTATCGTCTTAACCTGTGTAGTTCCTTTGACTTTCAGCCATCTTCACCTGATGGTAAGGATTGGGTCCTGGATAATGTAGGATGGCAGGCAGGGATGGTCAGAGCTTATCGGTGAACTCGATGAACGTGTGAGGGGAGTTTAGAAACAGTGAGCACTACAGCAGGAATGCAGTTCCCAAAGAATGTACACAACCAAATGATGGGAAACCAATCTTGGGACAAATGTCCTTCATTAGGCTGGCTTGTTTAGGAAAGTGAGCTGAGCCGAGGCGTAATGAAGGCCCTGATAAGGTGTGTGTGTGTGTGTCTGTGTGTGTGTATGTGTGTGTGCGCCCGCGAGAGAAGGAGGGGAGATCTTAGACAGCGCCGCTTTGTGCCGGCTGCCAAAGCACCGTGTTCCGGTCGGGGAAGTGTTTCAGCTGAATATCCAACGTACACACGCCGAGGGACACATGCGCATGTTAATCCACGCGAACACGCACACACACACACTCACCACCGGGACTCTAGCAGGATGCTGGATTCCCTAAAAATACCGGACAAAGATGGAGACAATGGAATGCTTTGTTGGGAATGTTTCTGCCTCTTTGGTTCCGGAGAGGATCTTCCTTAGTGAACTCCACTGCAGCAGTCCGGCTCGCGTTCTGAGCGCGCATGTGTGTGTGTGTCTGTGTGTGTGTCTGGCTCTGCTTCATCTGCACACAAGAGCCCAGAAAACTGAGGTGCTTTGTCTTCCTCCCCGCTCTGTTTGCCTGTCTTTGGTTTCCCCCTCTGTGCTCCTTTTCTTTTATCTCCCCGTCCTTGGCAGAGGGAATCCTCTGACATCCCGCGGGTGTGTCCCGCTCTGCATTCCTCTGCTGCCTCAGAGGAATGTCTCACTGGCGAGCTGCAGCTAAATGTTGACTTCAGTGCTGCTGCTGTAGTAGGAGTAGGCTGAGGTGCAGCTGATGTTTCCGCACATGGTTTGTGCAGGTTCTCTCCCACCTTTCCTGGTGTCTGTCTTTATGTGATCCTATTCCCGGCGTCCTTGTTTAAATCTTTCTTTCACTTAGTTTACGTGTGCAGCTCACCACGATGTGAGCCACATTGAAAGTTGGGGACACTTTAAACGTGTCTCATTTATTAGGGATTTGGAGCCCTCTCTGAGCTCAGACCTGGGGTCACTGTGCCATTACATCACCTCACGTTCAGCTGGAAGTCGTTGGGATTTTACAGCTTCCTGGATTACAGTGGAGCCGTTCCTTTCATGGAAAGGCGCTACAGATGTGACATGTATTCTGTTATCTTTCTCTCCTAGCCTGCCAGACGACTACAGATGTGGGAAGTCATTGGGACCAGTGGAATCCCTTCAGGAACACCCCCAGCAGTCTGGGAAGATTCTTATTGGCTACAGCCGAGGCCTGGTGGTTCTGTGGGATCTCGGCACCTGCCATGCCGAGCAGCTGTTCCTGGGCAAGCAGGTATTAAACTTAAAGAAGGAGATGAAGCCGTATTAGGTTCACTATTGTGTTTAAAAAAAAAAAAAAACTACCCCTCCCCTACTGTGATGTAATAACCATGTGAATCACCTCCTAGCCTGTTCTGATGGGTGTGTGTGTGTGTGTGTGCCGCCCGCAGCAGCTGGAGAGTCTGGTGTGGGAGCGTTCTGGAAACTTATTCGTCAGTTCCCATAACGATGGCAGCTATTCAGTGTGGACCGTTACCAGCGGCAACACCTGCAGCCAGCAGCCGGAGTCCTCCACCGTCCCGTACGGTGAGAAAAGCACACAGCTGTCAGAAAACCGCCTCCTGTCAGGACTGCTGATGCATTAAGTGTCATCCTGAATGAATGGGCACGATGGACCTTTAAACTCTGCTATATCTTATGCTGATTGTATTTTTAACATTCAAAAAAAAGTTATTAAACATTTTTATTTATACCCTCTTTGGATAAAACGGGTTCAGGAAGACCCTCATCCTGTTTTTCTCTTGCAGGTCCTTTTCCCTGTAAAGCCATCAACAAGATCCTCTGGAGGACATCACAGACTGGGTGAGACAGTGCTGTCTGATCTATGCTATTGTCCATGATGCATTGTTCTGCCAGATAATCGTCAGTAAATACTCTTCTTTTTTGTTTCCGTCCTTGTAAAGGCAGCCCAACATTAGCTTTAATTCTGCTGTTGTCTCTGTTTGCATCGTTATTATCATTATTTTCCCTTGCCTGAATCCCTTTAGGCTTCAAACTTTATTATTAAGTGTCTACACGACAGCACCAAGGGTTTTTTGGGGGTTTTGAAAACCATCACTCTGACTGCAGTTTTTATCCTCCCCAAAGATTTCACAGTGATTCTTAAAGATTGGTTATTTTTAATCCAGACCAGCTGGAGATCAGAGCGGGCGAGCTGTAATTAAATTCCTGGGTCTTTTTATGTCGCCATACATCTTAAAGTCGCCGCCTCCAGACCCGAGAGCTTTGTTTGTTGTGGTCGACAGTAAGCAGGACGCGTTTGCTGACAACAGAAAACAGTTTTGCAGGCAACAGTTTGTCATTTCAGGATCTGAATCTGTTCTTGATTTCGTGCAAATTGGGTTTGTCTTTAGTCTTTCGATGAATGTGAAACAGTGTCTCTGTGCATTATGGGAACATAGAGTTGTGACGGTAACGGTCTTGCTTCCTCTTTGCACCCTTCGACAGCTCCCCGGTGCTGCTCTACAGTGGGGGGATGCCCAGAGCTAGCTATGGAGACCGCCACTGTCTGACCATCCAGCAGGACAAGGAGCACGTGGCTCTGGACTTCACGTCTCGAGTGATCGACTTCTTCACTGTCCACAGCATAGAGGAAGAGAAAGGTGAGGGCAGGGTGAGAAAAAACCAGCTCTGATATCTGATCCTTCCTCCGTCCTAAACCTGCCGCCCGTTCCCGGCTCCTCAGAGTTCGACGACCCCTCGGCGTTGGTTGTTCTGCTAGAGGAGGAGCTGGTTGTGATGGACCTCCAGACCCCGGGCTGGCCCTCTCTGCCGACGCCCTACCTTGCTCCCCTTCACTCCTCAGCCATCACCTGCTCCTGCCACATCTCCAGCATCCCGCCCAAACTGTGGGAGAGGCTGATCAATGCTGGCAAGCAGCAGGGCCGCCAGCACACGCATGGGGTGAGGAGCACCGAACGCACCCAGGGAAAAATGCTGCACGTTAGAGCCCACGCCAAGCGTGCACCGGCCACAGGAAATAGTTTTAATACCATGTCGCAGGACGCTGGTATGAATAGCCTCATTACTGTAGCAGCTGATCCGAGCTCTCAGCTTAACAATCAGGAGAGGAAACGAGCGCCAATGTGACCCGCCGCCCGCGTGGGAGCTTAAAGAGCAGGTGTAAGCAGTTAAGGGCTTACGGGTCTTTTAGCATGGATCAGCTGTTTGATCAGTCGCAGATTAGTCGCACAGCTGTTCCGTTCAAAAATCAGCCTGATCCAAACCCGGCCGCAGAGGACGGGGGTGGGGGGGGGACCTTTGGGTAGGAAAGTTTTAGTGACGGGGAAAAGGGAAGAACGTCCTCTCCTCAGTGGAATTCAATATGTGAAAAGTCTCTTTTTGATTTCTGTGCAGAGCTGGCCAATCTGTGGGGGGGAAAATCTGGCTCCTCCACCAAAACAACAAGAGCTGCTGTTGACAGGGTTTGTACACACAGACGCTCACACACCGTCTGCTTGGGCCCATGCTTTCATATCCATTCATTCTATTGGATTAAAAAATCTGTATTTTCTATTTGATATATATGTTATATATTTAAATGATAAATGTGTAAATATATATTATATATAATATTCAATATTTGATCAAAGCTCAACAGCTTGGGTTAGGCAGCAGGCGGGAGCACGCTGGCAGAAATCCTCAGTCAGGAACTCGGACCGGCCGAGGTGGACGGCACCTTCATTTCTGTGCTCTGTCTTTGCAGGCATGAGGATGGCACCGTGCGCTTCTGGGACGCCTCCGGCGTGGCTCTCACCCCGCTGTACAAACTGGGCACGGCCAACATCTTCCACACCGACTGCGACGACCCTCACGACACCAGCAGCGACCACGGCGCGCAGCAGGAAGAGGAGTGGCCTCCTTTCAGGAAGGTGAGAGGAGAGGAAGGTGGCTCCTCCCCCATGTCAGATTCTTGGTCTTATTTTATTGGAGTCGGTAGTTTTTCTTTTTTATTTTTTTATTTTTCAAAAACAAACACTCACGCTGCTCTGTGACCTCCTTTTCTCATCAGATTGTTTTCATGTGTTTGGCTCTCACACAGGCCCGGCCCATTATTCTGGTTGTTAAAACTCCACTCTGAACCGCAGTCTGATTCTCCCTTTTTAATAGATTTTTTGTTTTGTTTTGTAAAAAGTTACAATAAAATGAACCAATGTTCGGCTGGAAAAACTTAATTTCACGACGAGTCTGTCTGAAACTTGAGCAGACAGAGACGGGTTTTGTTTTGGATGGAACTCATTTTCTCGTTTTTCCCATGCTGGGACTCACGAGCATGACTCAAACAGATTATTCGGGACCCCGATCGTGCAGAACTTTAAGGCTTCATGTTATATTTCTTTGACTTTCCTCTATTCTTCTCTTCCACCCACCCTCCATTGAAACACGCACATGCGCGTTTCCAGGAGTATCCTGGGGTAACAGGGCTGCGTGTTAAGGAATGTGGTCCTCATATGGGATGAAGAGCCTTTCCCTTTTCTTTCTTTTTTTTTTCTACGCTCTAATGAAAACCAGACCTGTCAGCCCACTCTTTCAGTGCATGCCTGTCTATGTGCGTGTGTGTGAATGTGTGTGTGTGACCGACCTCTACGTTTTGTTTTGCAAAAATGCATAACACAATATGAGAAGGATTCAGTTGGAATTCTTGCAGTTTCTGTGTGTGAGACAAAGGCAAAAGTGGCCCATAGCTGTATAGCAGTAGAAGCATTGTTATTTAGGCTGGCTGTAATAAAGGAGGAAAGCCTCCAGATGGAGGGGTAGGTTAATGGGGTAGGTAAAACTCTGGAAGAAGCCACACTGAGTGGAAAATGGGCGATAAGTTTCTGTTTCACATATTCACATTTTATACATGTTCTAAACGGAGGGAAAAGGGGCGGGTTTTGATCAATACCCGCTTTGTGTGTGTGTGTGTGTGTGTGTGTGTGTGTGCAGGTGGGCTGCTTCGACCCGTACAGCGACGACCCCCGGCTCGGCATCCAGAAAATCAGCCTGTGCAAATACAGCAACAAGCTGGTGGTGGCAGGGACAGCCGGACAGGTGAGAGGAGAGGAGAGCCCTAAGACCTCATCAGGAGGCATGAGGGTGAAAGCTTTCATCTAGACGTAGAATGCAGAGACGTTTTTAAAGCAGGAAAGCCTCCACCTTTTGATAAGGATGAGCTGAAAGTTCTCAATGTCTGATATTTTATTCCCCAAAAAAGAGTCCTTCTGAAGTTTAAAGGCCATCTGAGCTTTGGGCTCTGAGGCTGTACGTCATGTCACACACAAAGAGATGAATCGGACTCTCTTTGAGGCAGGGGCAGCGTCCGGGGAACCCACTGGGCTGCACAGTAAACTGTTTCTTGACTTAACCCCGCACAGGTGATGGTGATGGGTCTGAGCGACGAGCGCTCGGAGCGCCCGCCGGACGTGTCGGTGGTGGACCTGCTGCAGGACCGGGAGGGCTTCACCTGGAAGGGCCACGACCGGCTGGAGCCGCGCCTGAAGCCCGGCCCCTTCCCGCCGGGCTTCCAGCCCCAGGTGCTGGTGCAGTGCCTCCCGCCGGCCTCCGTCACCGCCGTGGCGCTGCACGCCGAGTGGAACCTGATCGCCTTCGGGACCAGCCACGGCTTCGGCCTCTTCGACTACCACAGGAGGAGCGCCGTGCTGGCCAGGTTCGGGACGGCTCCTGCTCCTCTTTTTCCCCGTCCTCTGCACTTTAATCTCTCTGACTCCTGTGGCCCTGCTGCTGCTCCTCAGGTGCACCCTGCACCCCAACGACTCCCTGGCCATGGAGGGTCCCCTGTCCAGAGTCAAGTCCCTCAAGAAGTCCTTGCGCCAGAGCTTCCGACGCATCCGCAAAAGCCGGGTGTCCGGGAAGAAGCGGGCCGTCCCCGCGCCCACCAGCAAGGTGAGGCTCCGCCCCCCCCCGCCTCAGCCCGGCAGAGCCTGGCGGCGAGCCTCCGTCTGACCGCACTGTGCTCCTTCGTACAGGTTCATGAGGCCAACGCCGCGCTGGCCGAGCAGGAGGAGGTGGCCCCCGTCCAGCGCCGGATCGAGCCCCGCTCGGCGGACGACTCTCTGTCGGGGGTGGTGCGCTGCCTCTGCTTCGCCGACACCTTCCTGCGCGACGGTGCGTGCTGTCAAACCGCGTTAGTCCCCGCTGCCGCCGCATGTGCCTGACGGCCCCGTCTGCCCCCCCCCAGGCACGCACCACGGCCCCACGCTGTGGGCCGGCACCAACTCGGGCAGCGTGTACGCCTACGCCCTGGAGGTGCCCGGCGCCGGGCCGGCCCGCGGCGGCGAGCGCGGCGGCAGCGGCGGGACCAGCGAGGGCGGCCTGTGCGTGGAGGCGGTGCTGGGCAAAGAGATCCAGCTGATGCACAGGGCCCCCGTGGTGTCCATCTGCGTGCTGGACGGGCGGGGGAAGCCTCTGCCGGACCCCTACGAGGCCGCCCAGGACCTGGCCGCCGCGCCGGACATGAGCAACGGCCACTCTGTGCTCATCGCCTCCGAGGAGCAGCTCAAAGTAAGTCAGGCGGGCGGCCTGCGGGCGGCCGACTGGCGGGCGGCGCTGGGGTTAATCTGCCTCCTCCTCCTGCAGGTGTTCTCTCTTCCCAAAGTCAGCGCCAAGACCAAGTTCAAGCTGACGGCGCACGAGGGCTGCCGGGTGCGGAAGGTGGCGCTGGTGCTCTTCAGCTCGGCGGCTCAGGAGGACTACAGCGAGCACACGCTCACCTGCCTCACCAACCTGGGAGACATGCACCTCTTCAGCATTCCGGGCCTCCGGCCACAGGTGGGCGGCCGCTCGGGTCCCAGAGGTCCTTCACTGTCCCGCCTGCGCCCCCTCACCCCCCCGCCGCCGCCTCTGTGTCCGCAGGTGCGCTACGACTGCATCCGGAAGGAGGACATCAGCGGCATCGCGTCCTGCGTCTTCACCAAGAGCGGACAGGGTGAGGAGAGGGCGCCTCGCCCGAAAACGCCGTTGAGGTTTTTTTGTTCGCCCAGAGGGCGATGGAAACCTCTCATGGTGGTGCTTTTGTGCTCCTCTCTGCAGGGTTTTACCTCATCTCCCCCTCAGAGTACGAGAGGTTCTCCCTGTCTGCTAAGGTGCTCACTGAGCCGCGCTGCTCCGTTCAGCTGGACCGACCGCTGGAGCCCACACCCAGGTAACAGCCCGTGGAATCGTAACAGATTCCAGATGAAGCTCCTCCCAGGCGCCAGCACCACCACCTTAACCGATTCCAGATGAAGCTGCTGCTTTGTGTTCATGCCGAATTTGGTGGGCTCTGTAAATGATTTATCAGATGAATGTAAAAACCAAAGTTCACAGACTCCTCCCGTGTCTCCACAGTGATGCAACAGGGATGCACCGGCAGGCTAACGGAACCCACAAGAACCAGATGGGCCAGGCTGAAGGTACTTATGAACACGCACAGGCTCTGTGTTCCCTTTCCTCTCCTTTACTGGTTCTTCCTCCTTTTTCCGCCCCTCTCCTGGTCTATTATCTCTCCTCACTGCTCTCTGGGCCTCTTAAAACCCTGGCCAGGCCTAGTGGGGGTCCCCCCGGTCTCTGTGGCAACCATTCAGAAAGCTCCACTCACCTCTCCGGCCCAGCACCTCCTCCCACGGCTCGCTCTGCAGGCCGGGGCTGCTTAGCTCCACAGCGTGATTATTGGGACAATAGAAGCTCACTCCCAAAGGCTGAGAAGGGTTTCCACACCTGTAATTTAAAGCCTCAGCTTTGTAACTGTCTGTCGGGTTGTTAAATCCAACTCGTTTTTTAAAAATAATGCATAGTGAAGATCTGAGACTTCATTTGGTGATTTTATAGACAAAGAGATTAATATATGATCCAGGATGGGTGGTAGTCAAATATAATAGGTGATGTAGCTCAAACCATGTGGATGCACTGAAAAATCCAGATAAAGTGATGTTGGTAGCAAAATAAGGAACTGTGTGTGTATATATGTATACATATTTTTTTCCACCCCACTGATTGCCTTTTTGCATAAAAAAACAGCTCAGTGTGGCCCCGGGGGGCCTTACATTGGCTCCTTTTCCCTCATCCACTCATTTTCCGACACGTTCTGAAAATGCTGATTTCTTTTCTCTCTGTCCTGCACAGGCCAGACGGATCAGTCTCCCAGCACCCTGTCTTCCCCCGTCTTGGACTCCCCTCTGGACTCCCCCCTCAGCTGTGCTGACCTCACCCTGGACTCGACCGGAGAACTGACCGTCGAGGACGTCCGGGATTTCCTCACGTAAGTGCGGGCAGCGGGCCGTTTTCAGATCTACCCTCAGCCTTTTTGTCCTTTTCTTTTTTTTTTTTTGATCCACTTAGAACATTTCTGTGTTTCACAGAACTGTTGACGAGGCTGAAAACAATCTGAAAAACATGAAAGAGGAGGAGGGACGCTCCACCGGCATCCTCATCAACTGAGCAGGTGAGAACTCCCATGAGCTGGGACACACACACACACAAACACACACACACGCAGTGGGTCCCACGTGTGCAAACTTCAAAGAGTAGTTCTGTCTGAGCTCTGCATTCCAACAACTTACTGTCTATTGTACCTTACAACCTTTGGAAAAAAAGCCTCTGCTGCCCTCTGGTGGTGCTTTTTAGAAATACAAATAGCTGGATTTGCATGTATTGGCTGGTTGTTATTTTTTTGTTTTTTTGTCCTCCTTGGCTTTGTTGAAGCATTCCAGGGAGGGGCTCGAGCGGTTCTGATGGACTGGATTTCAGTGCTGGACCACAAACGCCTCCCATCAGTCCACCACGGAGCCCCCCCACCCCTCTCCCGTCAGTCTGGCACAAAGCAGGAGTAACCACTTTGGAGAGACGACCACGCGGCGTCCGAACGGCCTCAGAGGTTATGATTCTGATTTCAGGACCTCAAAGGGGACATTTGTGTCATCCATCTACCGGCTGCTTGGCCCAGAGGCTGTGGCTCAGCCCGCGGGAGACTGACCCCTGTCCTTAGGTCTGTAAGGTCCCCTCCTCACACAGTTCAGTGGCACACTCGGCTCAGTGTTACATTTTTGCACAGTTTTGAACTGGAACCGGGGATGGAGTTCTCTGTACTGCAGCGGTACCCGTTCCCACTTTGTGGGGTTGAAGGCAGAGCAAGTGGCACACGAAGGGATTTGAAGTGAGCTCCGGAAAGCGTAGCATCTCAGTTTTTTCCTTCAGGCAGCAGCTGGGGCAGCTCACTGGCCTGAGGCAGCGCGCATATTCTACACAACATCCTCCTCTACTGAAAAGATGACCAGGTACCGGGACAGTGAAGGTGTGAAGCGTATTAAATATTTTGTGAGGCTATTTGAGAAAGAGAAGATATTTTAAGGATGAATGGATTTGTGGGGATAATCACACTGTGGCTTAAAAGGGAACCAGCCAGGGAGCAGAGAGAGGTGAAAGTGGTGCTCTTTGTTTTTACAGCAGCAAACTGTTCAGAGATTTTTTTTGTTATATTGTCTGCTAAAGATTTATTGGAAGTGTTTCTTCTGCTATTCAGAAAGAAAGAGCGGATGAAGGTGAGGGAAATAAATCACAATTAACATCCTCTGCGATAAGCTTCATCTCATGCAGAAATCTGTGGACAGGACTCAGGGAAGTGTTGCAAAGTCAGTCTGAAAGTGTCACATTCTCTATGAAATGGTGCATTCTAGGCTTTGAGCCACGGTATTTTAAAGGCCTTTTTTCTTTCTTTTAAAAAAAGTCTTACGGTATGTAGAAGAGCATTCACAGAAGACAGGTTTATGACTGTAAGCCGACGATAGCTTCTCCATCCTCACGCTAAATTTAAAAGGGCCTCTGTAACAACTGTAGTTCTACACTTAGAAGCAGTGATTTACTTTAATGTGTTTGCTTTCTGATGACATACACGATTAACCCCTTCATGCTACGGCTGGCACGATTTTTGCTTCTTTTTTTTTTTCTAATCCCAAATCTGAGTTGGACTTTTTATTACTCAGTTTCACATGTAGGAATTTATTAATGGCGTCATTAAGCATTTTGACTGAAGAATTGTGAATGTTAATAAAGTTTATTTACTCTCTAAATCCTCAGTGTGGTTCGTACTTCCAGCTCCAATGTGAGAAAAATTGAGAGGACAATAAGTGGAGAGGAACTAGAAAAGGTGATGTGACATTTTATTTTTGTAGAAAATACTTAAATAAAGCATCTGCAGGTGGCATTGGAATTATGTGCACATATTCAAAACACACACAGAAACGTGTGCAGGACTCGAACAGCCATACGCTCCAAAAAACTAAGTTTCCCTCTTGGACCAATGGCTGACGCTACACGGGTCACATGATCGCAAGAAGCGAGTACCCGAAGTCTGATATGATCTCCCATTAATGCTTCCTGCTCCAAGAAGATAAGAGATATGCTTCAAGGTCTTCTAAGATTTGACTCTGTTCTCTTTATACACAAAAACATCTCAGAGTTGAATGCAGCCCGTAACAGGAATACAGTATCATCTCCCAGGCTCTCCTGATTGCACGTTTTAACATCTGTCCTGAAGCATAGCTAAGACAAAAAACATTCTGTCCCACATTGACTAACTGGCACCTCCATCCCGCCCCTTCAAGATTTCTTTGGCCAAATAAAGTCTGCGTCTTAAAGAGGTGAAGCATCTTCATGTGATGATATAATTTGCAGAGGAGGTGAAAACGCTCGCAGAGGACTGTGGACTAAAGGGAAGACCCCGAGGCGTGAAAACATACACGTATAAACACACGTTCTTTAGAAAATAATTACAGTGCCATTTTTCCCTTCAGTCCCTTACAAGATAAAAAGAAGGATACAAAGTGTAGAATCAAGCAGCTAAACGGGTGGATGTTGGCTGGGAGGGGAGCGGGGGGGGCGGGTGGACCTTCCCTGGGTTTGTAGACATCTATTAGACTCGTTTCAAAGAAACATTCAGGCTTGTTTTAAGAAGAAATATGTTTTTCTCTCCATCTCAGAACAACCAGCCAGAGCTCTGTTACTGCTCAGCCTGTGCTCCTTAAACCTGCTGGACTCTGCGCTTGTTCTGGGACGGACAGAGGCATCTTCTCTTTAGTGGTAGAAAACTACATGGCAGCGGGGGGTGGGGTGGGGTGGGGGGGCTTGGCGGTGGGCCTACGAGGGCGGGGTTTTGAAGGCCCCCCAGGCGTGGAAGCAGCGCGTGAAGCAGTGGGGCTCGTTTCCCTTCCTCACCAGACGCAGCTTCCTCGGGTGCTCCGAGTCTTTGGAGCGCATGTGCTGGATGTAAACCTGGACAGGAGAGGAATGGAGAGGCCATGTGAGCCACACACACACACAGACACACACACACAGGCCTGCGGCGTGCAGGAGGGGGCCTCTCACCTGGCAGGCCTTCAGACTCAGCTTGATCTCCACCTGGCTGGTCTGACTCCCGACCCACATGTACACCTGGGGAGGAAAAGAAAAGGAACAGCCGGCGTGAGGGGCAGGCAGAGCAGAGAGGAGGAGCAGAGAGGAGCAGAGAGGAGGAGCTGAGAGGAGCTGAGATGCTGGTGAGCCGCCGTACCTCTTTGCCGTTATCCAGCAGCATGATGTCGTCGTCGGCCAAGTCGTCCTGACAAAAGTCGGAGCACTTCTCCGACACTGAGAAGTAGCCCTTCTCATTGGAGCACCTGGGGAGGGGTGGCAGGAGGGTCGGGTTAAGTCCCGTTAATGTTCTGGGCGGGACGTCCCCAAAAGAAAACGGCTCTCACCTGAAAAGCCGAGCGTGCTTCATGTATTCGGCGTCCTCGTCGTACTCTTTCTGAGAGCCAATCCCGACCCAGAAGAAGTTCTCCGGCTCCTCCCCCTCGTTGATCACCTGGGAGAGGCACAGAGTTGGAGCTTTTTCCCGGACGGCCCCCCCCAGACCCCGTGCTGCCAGCTAACGGGGGCGTTTCCTCACCTGCTTGCTGTAGGTGTCGTCAAACATGCAGTTCATGATGTCCTCGGCCAGCTTGGCCTCGTCGGGGTCGGCGGCCCGGCCCACCCAGGTGTACACGATGCCCTGGTTGTCTGTGCTCTCAAACGGGACCTGCGGATCACACAGGCAGTGCAGGGTGAGAGACGGGCAGTGCAGGGTCAGAGCCAGGAAGACAGACCAGCGTTATTCTGTTTGAGGGGAAGAGTTTCCTACCTTGAGTATGAAGCAGAACTCAGAGTTGAGATTGCTGGAATCTGTGCCAATCTGGATTGTTCTGAAAGGGGGAAATGGTGAGAAAGGTTCAGAAATATGTTCAGTAGGAGGGGAGGGTGGGGGGGGTTCTTTAAGTGAAACGGTGAGTGTACCTGGTGCAGAGCGCGCTGCCGTTGGTGCGTATGTGGTAGAGAGACGGCTGGGCCGAGTCCGTCTTCTGTTTCCTCTTCCCTTTGTGTATGATGAACTTCCTCTTGAAGTGGGACAGGAACTTGAGGTTTTCCTGCTGCTGGGTCATCCGCACCACCTGTGGAGCAGAGGAGAGGGGTCTGAGCCGCTGGGGGAGTCGCAGTGTACACACACACACATTTAAACATGACTAGAATTGTTGTGTTGGGTGCTCCCGTCTCTTCTTGCCTTTAACTTCCCCGGGAACAGACTCTCAAACTTCTTCTGCAGGGAGAAGGTGAAGGTGAGCCAGCCCATGTTGGAGGCCTGCCTGCCCTGCCAGAAGTACACCACACACTGGAAGTCCTCCTCGGGCTGTTTGTCCTCCTCTGCTGCTGCCGCTGCTCCTCCTCCCGCCTCCCCCTCCTTCTTCTCCTCTTCCTCATATTCTACCGGTACCCAGTATCTTAAGACAAAGAAAAAGGATTTAAAAATTGCACATAAAACATTTCAAACTGCTGCGTGATTCCCAACACACACACACACACACACATACATACACACACACACACACCTGCAGAGGAAGACGTAGCAGTCTTGGGTGTAAAAGTGTCCAAACTCCTCCTCCGCCAGGCGAGCGAACTTCTTCCCCTCCAGAACAAATCCCTCCATGCCCTCCAGGTCCTCGTTCCACTCCTCCATCAGCTGCTCCGCCTGGACATGTGAGTGAGAGGGGGGGGGGGGGGGGGTGTTTTTGGGGGACTGGGGGGGTTGTGACAGCACAGCGGGGCGGGGGGGGGTGCATCACCTCGGTGAGGGCCATGGGGGGCTGCCGGGGGAGGAAGAGGGCGGTGAGGTCGGCCTTCATCTGGTCCTTCTGCTCGGCGTCCTTCTTCACCTGTGGGACAGTGACAGACTGCTGTCAGGAGGACTCCGGGCCAGGCGCTGCTGAGGGCAGCAGCGGCCGCGGGCTGACCGGCGGGCTGACCGGTGGGCTGACCGGCGGGCCTCACCTTGCCCTGGAGGTTATCCTTCTGCTGCACGGTCTCGGCCGCTCTGGTGTAGTCCACCTTCAACACGTCGTCCCAGTTCTTGAACTTGGACTTGAACACCTGAGGAGGAGGGAGGGCCAGATAAGTCCTGGTTCCAGCAGAGGCTGAAATGGGGCCCTTGAGTCCCGAGGGTGTGGGTGTGGGCCGGTACCTGGGTTTCGGTGCCCTCCAGGTTGCGGGTGACGCTGGCGTGCTTGGGCCGGTGCAGCATGCAGCAGATCTCCTGGCCCAGCTTCAGGGCGGCGGCCCGGACCAGACGGGGGGACTTCCTCCCGATCCAGATGAAGACGTCCGACCAGCAGTCCAGGATGTACACGCCCTTCGTGTCCAGCAGAGACTGGAGCTGAGCACAGGGAGGGGGCAGAGGTCAGCACAGGGGGGGTACAGAGGTGTGTGTTTCCTCTGAGGGGGTCAGCAGATAAACCTACCAGCCTGAGCTCTGGCAGCGTGTCCAGCTTGATCTTGTGATCTTTGTGCTCTACAGACAGCTTGTAGTTGATCTGAGGGAGCTCCAGGTAGCCCAGACCCAGACCCACCTACACAGGGAGGGGCACAGCAGACAGGGCGGGTTTACAGCCGTTTTACTTCATCAACCCACAAGCAGTTTGTTCTCTTCTCTCAGTTTTTTTTTCTTACTTTGTAGAGTTTGGGTCTGACGGGGGAGAAGTCGTCTGGCACGTGTTTCTTTATCTCCTCCGGTTGTCCTCCCAGCACCTCCCAGACCTCCGGGGGCTCCTGGTTCTGCATCAGCGTGACGATCTCCGCCTTCCCCTTTCGCTCGTTCTTGTTTATCTTCTCCGCAAACAGCCTGGGGGATGAACACAAATCCACAACGACGTGACGTTTTTGGTCGTGGCGCTTTGGTTGCCTGGAAACGGCCGGAGCGGTTCGTCACCTGGCTTTTGTGGTGCCGCTCAGAGTGGCGTTGGCCCCTCTCCAGATAAAGATTTCCAGCCCCTTGTCCAGCAGGAACACGTAGCTGCCCAAAAAAACAAAACAGAAGCCAAGTTTAAAACACAGGTGCTCTTCAGCTGTGGAGCAGAAGAAAAAACAGACAAAAAAACAGCATAAGATTCATTAGTTAGCACACGAGGCTGTGAGAGTGTGTGAGGATCACCGGGGGTCCAGGGACGAAGCCTTCACAGGCACAGACTCCAGTTTGATGTTTTTCTTGCCATAGACTCTGTACAATCTGTAACACAAAAACAAGAAGCACAGATTAAAACATTTGAAAGCCGTCGTAGAATGAATAAATAAAGCCGTTAAAAGAGCGAGTTGGCTTTGAACGCACCTGACGATGTAATTTGTGTCTTCCACCGTGTAAAAGCCGCTGGCGGTTCCTCCCTCGATGTAGGAGATCTCATTGTTGAAAACCTGCGGTAAGAAAGGAGAGCCATCAGAGCACATCGGGCCTGGGCCCCTATGGGTGTCTTGCTGTTGAGCTTCTCTACGCACGGCGCTGAACTCCTCGCTCTCGTCTCCCATCTCCTCCCGGATGGTGCGGCACTCGGCTCCTAAGAAGTTTCGGAGGTTGACTGCGTGGATGGCCGAGCCGGCTTTCTTGTCCAGCGTGGCTTCCTGACCGATCCAGTAGTAGATCTCCCAGTTGAGCGCTCCGTTGTCATCCAGGAAGGTCTGGGAGGGGCAGGGGGGAGACACGAGACAGACGGGAGGCGTGTGAACAGCATAATAAACAGCGGGGGGGGGGGTAACCCTGAGGTGACACTACCTTTAGGATGATGTAGCAGTCGGCCTCGTAGAACTTCCCATGGAAGGCTTCGTCCATTTGCACGGGTATAAAGTTCTCTATCTGCCACACCGACACACCGGGAATCTGCAGCAAACGGTAGAATGAGGCTGGCCTGTAGAGGCCTGTGGACTGGGGTGAAGCCGGCAGCTTTCACACGGGCAGCCTTACCTGCCCCACGTCCTCCAAGAAGAACTCAGAGTAATCCAGCTGAGGCTTCTCCAAACTTTTGTCCCAGCGGCGAACTTTTAAGTCGCCGTATTTCAAGTCTCCGCTCTCCTGTAAGAAAAAAATATAGAAGAGAGGTATATTTCTTCCTAAGAAAAGCCGTGGCAACTGGGAGGCTTTTCTCCACCGCCTCAGCTCAGTGAGCTGTTTACAGGAAGTCTGGGCCAGGACAGTAACTCTGCTCCCAAACACACACACAGCTTCTATTCCAGGGGTCACCAACACGGTGCCCGCGGGCACCGGGTCGCCCGCACGGACCAAATGAGTCGCCCGCGGGCCTGTTCTAAAAATAGCACAACTCAATAGTGAAAAGCGTCTAAAATTTAATTTTGTTCCGTTGCTATTCTATTTTAATCACACTTGCATTCATATAGATTTAATCTAAAATGACAATATCTTTAAAATATGTTAATTATATATTAAGTTTAAGTTTTCTCTAGTTCAAAGGTCAGTATTGTGCACGTGACAAAACAAAAACAGTGTCAGTGGAGAGTAAGCTAGCGGGCGCAGCGGAGATGGGTGCAGTTTCTTACCCCAAAAACATGGCAGAAAAACGAAAGAAAACGTATCACTCTCACAACGAATGGGAGGAGGAGTTCTTTTTTACGACTGTAAAAGAAACCTGCGTGTGTCTGATCTGCGGGGCAACTGTGGCGACGGCAAAGCGGCACAATGTGGAGAGACACTTCACTTTGTGCCACAAAAGCTAGCATGCTAACTACCCACCGGGAAGCACTACGGGCAGAAAAAGCACATCTGAAATATGCACTCACAGTTGCAGTGTCAAGTCACACACCAGATTACAATGCACTGGTGAACAACATGCAATGACAATCTGTTAAAGATTTGGTCATGAGATTTCAGATTTCTTTTTAATATGTGAGTTGATTTTTCTTTAACATTAGATAATTGATAACTTTTTGAAACATGGTGCAACATAGTTCATGATTTGTTAAAAGGTTTTGTCAGTGGCTAGTGAAAATGAGTGAAATTGAAAACCCCTATGTAAATGTAGTGATGTAGAGTAAGTGATCATCTGAAAATTTAACAGTTGCTGAGATAAATAGAGATAAAGTGGGGGATATTGATATGTTTCCCATTTTGTTGTCACTGTTGTCACAGATGAGTATCATTAATGATTATTAATAAAGTATAGTTAAAAGCATAGTGAGCAAATGTATCATTTCAGAAGAGTGTATCAAACTGGTAGCCCTTCCTGTGACTCAGTACCCATGAAGTAGCCCTCCGTTTAAAAAAGGTTGGTGACCCCTGTTCTATTCACACACACGTAGATCCAATTTAGCCCAAAGAACAGGATGCCCACCCTCAAACTCCTGCTCCCAGAATACACGGGAGGTGTGAAGAACACGCTCAGAGGAGGTAAAAGTGGAAACTTGATATGTGCAGTGAAATGCTGCACAAAGAGCTCAACCAGCTTTTTACGGTCCTTTCACCTGACCATTTTCAGAGGGTTTCTTTGTTTTTTAAATTCTTTTTAAGCCACCTTACTCTGACCTCTGAGTCAAAACATAAAAACACTGTTAAACTCAAGGGCAGCGTTTGTTTTTTCAGATGACACAAATGATGTCTTGTTTAACAGCAGCCCAACACATATTGAAAGGTTCTCATTTCTAACTGATAAAATTAACAAACATAACAATCTTTGACAAAGAAACAAAAAAACTTGGCTAAATAATTCAGTGTGTTCTAAAGAAAATTCAGTAAATTGGCAAGGAAAAAGCCTAATAAATGCTCACTTGAGCAAAAAGAATTGCATCTGAAGGTCTTTGCAGAAAAACATCAGGAAAGACCTGGGAACTGGTCTCCATGGAGGGCTGTAAAATAGCCACCAACAAGGAAAGGAAACGGGGACAAAGGGCAGGACTCATGCACAGAGATGAGGGGTGGCTCTAAACTTTGGCTCGGAGACAGAATTGGCTTCCTGTGACCTGTCAGGACTCAGCTGCAGCGTGTCTGACTATACTTTCTCCCTTTACCTCCATGTTGTTCCTCTCTTGGGCGACGTCGCTCATCCCTTTCAGGACCTGCTTTGCCTGATCGTCCTGAGAGCAGTCCTTCCTCCTCCTCAGCCTCATCTTCCTGGCCAGGTGATCTCTGGGGCTGGCACCTGGACACAAGCGGACAGAGGCAGGCCGCTCTTAAAGCTGAAGCAGAGCGCACTAATCACCGAGCTGAGGCCTCACGCACCTCCCCCCGCCGCTGCCACCGTGGCGGCCGAGGCTCCGGCCAGACGGAGCTGGTTCTGTAGGGAGAAGTCGATGTTGTACCACTCTGCTCCCCTGTCCACCGGCTTGGGGGGCATCACCAGATTTGGGTTCTCACGCACGTCCAGTATCTACACAAAGAGACAGTAATGAGTCTCTCTATGGAACTCAGAAGACAAACCTCATATCCTGTATCATGCAAATACTTCAAAGGCGTTCCGTACCTCTAAATCTGTTAAGAAATGGATGGCTTCGGGCAGTGTTACCAGGCGGTTCTTATTCAGAACCAGTTTCTTCAGCTTGCCACACCTGGACAACAACACTTGTTACATTTGACTCAATGTGTCGCCTATCGAAAATCAACTCTCGCTTTTCTAGTATGAAATTTGGCCTCACCTGCAGAGCCCCTCGGGGATGAGCTCCAGGTTGTTGTTGGCCGCCATGAACTCTGTGAGGTTGGACAGTTTGCCCACGCCCGGAGGAACCCCATCAAAGTCCAGTTTGTTTGAGTTGATGTACAGCTTCTTCAGCTTGGCCAGCTTGCAGATGGCCGACTGCGAGGAGACGCAAAGTCAACCTTAACATTGGCTCTCCTTTCACAATTTCACAAACAGGAGACAAGAGAAGCCACAGGGGGCCTTACGGGCAGCGAGGTGAGCTGGTTGCGGCTTAGATTGAGTGTCTCCAGCTGGGTCCACTGGTCGATGCAGAGGGAGAGCTCAGAGATCTGGTTGCTGCTCAGATTGAGCCTTTTCAAACTGCCCAGCGTATAGAGGCACTCCGGAACCCGGGTCAGGTCGTTACATGACAGGTCAACGTCTGGGACAGAAGGACGTGGAGAGGAAGGGGATAAGAAACTCGGAAACAAATTATTTTGTGGCTGACAGTGTGTGTTACCTGCTAAAAGAGTCAGTCCCTCCAGGCTGGTTGGCATGTTGCTCTGGGTCCTCTGGGTGTTCCTGAGGTGAAGGGTCTGTAATGCCACCATGGCTGGGAGCTGGCTGCTCACACACACACATACACACACACACAGCAGCAGGAGTCAGTCCACATTTTTGTTTCAGAGCCAAAAACACCCCTGTGTTTGGAGGAAGGCTGTATTTACCGCAGCTGGGCGTGCATGAGCGGGTTGTTGTTCAGGATGAGCGTCTGCAGGTGCACCAGCCGCCTCATCTGGGGCGGCAGGCTGTCCAGCTTGTTGTCGCTCAGGTCCAGATACAGCAGGTCCGTCAGGTTGATGAACAGCTGGTTGGGGATGGAGTCGATGCTGTTGTGGCTCAGATTGAGCACCAGCATGTTCCTGCTGTTCTCCAGGTCCCTGGGGATCTCCGTCAGCTGGTTGCAGCTCAGGTCCTAAAGGGAAGGAGGGGTGAACGTATAAGCACAGGTCTCATCTGCTGTTGGTGAAAACAGGAGGTGGGGGGTGAAAGAGCAAAAACCAGTGGCTCTAAAATAACGAAAAGGTTGGAAAAACTTGTTGCTAAAAGTTCAGAGGCGTGCACTGATTGTGTACCAGCACAGAGAGGTCATCCAGCTGAAAGATGTCATCGGGGACTCCAGAGTTTTTCAGGTTGTTTGCTCTGGCTACCACCGCCTGCACGTAAAGACAAACATTGTGAGGATTTCAGGTCAGTACATGACAACTATGCAAGAAAGCCAAACAAATACAGTGTCCTACACCTAATGAATAAAAGAACAATGTTTTTTTTTTTCAAAGTTACCCGCAGATTTGGTAAGCTGGATAGTTCTCCGTGTAAGGTGGTCAGGCTGTTGTGGCTCACTGAGAGGTGTTCCTAAAGAAGGAAAAACAGAGCTTCATTTGACAGATATTATGGTACAAGCAAAACACAAGTTAAATCCATAAGTGTTTCCCTGAAAGCTTTCAGCTCAGATAGCATTACACAGACCAGGACCAAACCAAGACAGATGTTCCATTAACAACACTGATGCTGCGATAACGAGCCCAGATAACCTAATCTTGTTTACCCAAAGTACAACTGTTCAGATCAAGTCTGCTTTGTGTCAGGGTCGTCTGCTGAGTTAATCTCATCAGGGAGATTCAGATTAAAAACAAGGCTGTCTGACTTTGTTTTGTTTTTTTTGCCTGTATAGAACGCTCACCGCACAGCTCAGAACCAAAATAATTACATCTTAATAAGTAGAATGCCTCCTAAAAGTTTAATTTCATTGCTATTTCTTTTCAAGCATTTCTAATCTGCCTTTTCTGCAAAGTCTAAAAAGATATATCATAAACAATGAAGTCTAAGAAAATTCAGATATGTGATTGACCTAAGACTGAGCATCAGTATTTGGTATTTATTTCCCTCTTCCAATGATGGAAATCCAATGATGGTGATGTCTCACCAGTTTCTGCAGAGAGGCCAGCTCCTCTGGGAGGTAACAAAGTCCCGTCCTGTTGAGTTTCAGCCATCTCAAGCTGCTCATAGACTTGACATGCTCAGGGAAGTATCCACCCTGGAGTTAGAAACAGCAAAGGAGAGTGGGGGGACAAATAAAAGATGAGAATGACACCAGTTCTCACTTTTAGTTGAGGGTATGTAGCATTTCTAAATGGAGTAAGAACCAGACACAATGCATGGAGACCTGACGTCAATCTAGTTGATTTGACTGACAACAGAGTTCAAATATGTACAGCATTTACAGCATCCAAGACGTGATAATCCTTAGAACTTGAGTAGAGACAAATGGACTTCTTCTTGGAAGAAGATGAAGCTCTTTGGATAAACCGTGAAGTTACAGACAAAAAAATGTATATCTTTGTCAGTATCTTTGACAGTGGCATGACTACGGCATAAGACAATAACTGTCTAACAGATAAGTGGGGGGTGGATTTTTGAAATGCCATTGTAATGAAGTGGCATTTCAAGTCAGATGCACGTAGATCTGATAGCTGAACACTTGCAATACGAGACACACAAACCAAAACAACAAATCGTTTCCCCTATTCTGTCATTCTTCAAGCTCGCATAGTTTAAGAACATTCTGAGGTAATGACAACCCTCGGCTGACTACAATCACTCTACGAGGTCTCTAAAACGTCGGTTAAGGGTCATTTTCTCTAAACATGAAGCGATCTTAATCATGATCCGACACATTGCTCGTGCTTCTGATCCAGACAGCAATCGTTAGCCAAACATGAGGCTAAATTAGCGAAGTGACGTGATACTGGAAGTAGCTACACGACCCAAACTCTCTGGAATATTCCGAACAGCTACAAACGAATTGAAGGGAAGCTGTAAACCATTAAACCATTTCCTTTTACCGTGACCTGCAAACCAACGGAGGGGTTGGGTTGTGCCCGAGACCGAATGGCTACTTAGTCATTTTTACAAGTGGCTAACGCCCAAAGCCCGGAACGTTCAGCTATGACTGTGTTTCAGCGACTTTAGCCACTTGTTTTCCAGTCCTCTACATGGACTAGCTTTAGCCAAACTGAACAAGGAGATAAATACGCATATACAGTTAAAATAAACAAGTAATGTTTCTGAAAGTCCTTACTTTGAAGTCGTTCCCACTGAGGTCTACCCCCCTTATGAAGGGAAGCACTCCGGTGGCAGCCATTTCTGACTAGCTGATGTCAGCTGCTCAAACCTCAACTGACTATTTTGGTCTAAACGGGAAGGAGGGTTGTGGCTGTAAGGCCAGTGTTCTTTTTTGTTGTTGTTAAATTGACTGACCATTTTTCCTTGTAGCACGTTGTCGCCACCTTTTGATATGGGGTTGTATCGTATTGAAAGAGTACTAACGATGGGTGGCGCCCCCTAGTGTTCGTCGTGGATTACAGCACACGTGTTGCGGGTTGCATTAGGACGACACGGAACAGCAAAACCGAATAATTAGCAGCATCAATGAGACAATCAAACTCAACGGCAACAGAAAATATGTTGGAAAAAAAAATACTTTTTTGTTTCGTCATTTGCCGTGAAACGTGTTTCATTATTTTTTCGGCGTTTTGTTAATTGGTCCGGGAAATTGTTGTGCTTCCACATAAAGTGCGCTAACTTTTCGGTGGTAGCGTTTGTACATGTTTGGTTTCGGAAAAAGAACGTGTCCCCTCTTTTTCGACAGACTTGTTGGTCACTAATCTGCATAAAACGTTTGAGACAAAAACGTTCTGTTGGTGCTGGGCATTAATAAAACAAATAATTTTCTGTGTGACAGACTGCTTATCATTACCTAATTCTGGCTTCGTAAACCGTTTCATAATCATACCCAAACGACTCGTGCACTGTTTTTATTCAATTATGTCAAGTCATTCAGACTGCTCCAGCAAAACCGGAAGAGATACGATTTGTTTTCAAACTAAAGCCACAACTTTGAAATAAACGGTGTCTTGTAATTGCTTTCAATCAAGTATTTTCTTATTTTGAAAGTCACGGAAGCGAATTTTGCCAGTGTATTTATACGCAATGACATCATCCTTCGACGTAGTCTCTGCCGTTTAAAGGTCTGTGGACTGGCTAGCTTATGAAAAAAACAATTGTGTGCTTAAGTTATGGACAAGAATACAACGCGTTATAATGTACAACTTTATATTTATGATTTGTCAAGAGGAATGGCTCGCAACCTCAGTCCTATTATGTTAGGTAAGCCTACTGTAAACATCAGCGATGCGTAGTGGCCTTGGAGACACCGGCAACAATCAATTATGGAAGCCTGGACAGCTTGGTGATATATGTTATAAAGCGTTTGTTGGGGCTTCGTACTGATATTTAGTTGAGTTATTCAAATCCAGTTATGTTTTATTTATTCGATCCTTACACAGACGAAAGGGTCAGACTGATGGTGGGTGATAACAGCAAACTGTTCAAAATATGGGTAATATCCACTTGTATGGTGCCATCCAGCCCTTTATTCTTCTTATGTTTTTTTTCTTTCTGTTGCAGGCAAACAGCTGGATGGTATATGGTAAGTGTGACTCACATTGCCAGAGGATGCAGTGTTTTTCAGTCCAATGTAGGTCAGAGACTATTCTGCTCCAAAAGGTTAGAAAACATGCAGGGAAGCAGAAATTAGTGTTACACTATCACATTTGGCATTTTTATGTAGAAACTCCGGATGAAACGAATTTACAGGGAGATGTTATAAGACTGTCATTGCTAACCTGACAATAACAGGATACACATGGATAAAAAGTTGGTCTCTTCAAGCCACCGATGGTGTTGTCAAAGCAGTACTGTAAATCTAAGCTTTATGCCAGAGATGGCTTGGCATGCCAAATAGTTTGTGGTTTTGCAAAGAGTGACTGAGCTGTTTAACACCAGTGTTCTGACCTGGATTTACGCCGCTGCTGTGCTTTTCCTTCAGGCACACAGCCATTGTGGCATATGGTGACGAGTTCTTCTTCGGAGGGGAGGGGATCTCCAGCTGTTCTCCGGTAAGCGACATGGCAGGCTCCGTCAAAAAAGCACTATCACACAGTTTCTGAAAACGGCTGCCTGGTGGACTTCAGACAGAACGAGCGTCACATCGCCACTTTAAACTGTGTCGGTGGAAGAAACCAACCAAACGTTGTTTTCAAAAGCTGCCTTTCGGTCCTGAGAGACTTTTATTTGCGCGTTTCAGGGTGGGACTATGCTGGGACCCCCGGACACGGTGGTGGATCTGGGAGAGACCGAAGTGACTGAGGAGATCTTCATGGAATACCTTTCCTCTCTTGGAGAAAGCACATACAGGTCTTTTAATCACTGTTGTTGACTTATTCTTGCCAACTTTTAGCCTTACAAAAACTTTTAATAAGTACTTTACAGATTCTGAAAGCAGACATGATGAGCATTTGGGAAGAAGGATGGAATTATTATTTTTTTTCCTTTGTTCAGAGGTGACCGGTATCGTCTGTTTGAGCACAATTGCAACACGTTCACCAACGAGGTGGCTCAGTTCCTGACAGGCATGCCGATCCCCTCTTACATCACCGACCTGCCCTCAGAAGTCCTGTCCACGTGAGTGTGAAACCGTGTTATTTAAGCACGACTTCAGTTGGGTCTGTTGTAAAACTTGCCCCCCGCTCACCGGCATAGATGCCTGCGTCTCCATAAAATCAGAACCAAGAACAAGACGACATAAGTCTGTTTAGCACAAGTGCAATTTGTTCTTGGATTATTATGAGGTGCCTCTTTGATTTCGGTTGATCACAAGGCTGGTCATAGCTGAGACACAAGCTCCACCACAAATCCTCTAAAACACAGCCTCTTTATTCAACTGGGAACAAGCATATGACAAAGACTGGACTCAAAATGCACAAGTCAATGAAAAAAAAAGATGTGGAAAAATTTCTGCAAAATTAGATAAACAGTTAAACCTAGGAGAATTGAAATACTAGAACCTGACTCATGGCAGAATGGGGTCCAAAGTTTTATGTTAACATGCAAACTAGTTCTAAAACACATGAACACAATGAGGAAAAAGTACCTGTACCCTGACAGAGTCTGGTTATTAGACTCATAATAATCCCACATATCTTGGAGAAAACCAACATGCACAACAAATAAAAGTTAGGTTCTCAGAAAGCTATAATCTGTTTATGTTTTGGCTTAGAAAAAAAAGCAAACCCTGCTGACAGGACTGAAAATGTGTGGAAAAAGGGAGCTGATGTCCAATGAAAAACTGATCAAAACCTGCAGAGAGGCTTAAAATCTAATACTCTGGCCCACGTTGAAATGCATCTCTATTATTTCATTCTAATTCTAACAACAAGAGCAGTTGTTTTCTTTTGATCCTTCCGAAGATATCAACTCACACCTTTCTGTTCCATCTCCAGACCGTTCGGACAGATACTTCGACCCATTCTTGACTCTATTCACATCGCCCCTCCTGGAGGTAACGTCATCAATGGGGGAAGACACATTTAATCCCAGCCAGCCACAGAGTGTTCTCCAGGTCACTTCCACTGTTGTCAGTCCATAAAATGTAAAAAAAAAAAAAAATGTTTAGCTTTTTCTCTTTCACAAAGATCAGTGAATTCAAACTTTAAAAGGAAATCAACGCTCGTCTGATCAAACTTGAGTTTTTGGACTTAACATGCAGCACCTGATTTAATTTGTTTCCAAAGGTTATTTCAGGATATTTGCTCTCCACAACGGAAAGGTACCGCCTTCTGATAGCTGTAGTTAAGCCACTTTTTTAGGCCTATTTGTGGATAAGAGCAAAGCGATGATTTCTGCTGTAACTTTTGCACAGAAGCAACATAAGCCTCCCTTGATTTTTAGGTGAAATTAGATTTTTGTCAGATTCAAGTATTACAACAGGTGCTAAATTATGTAAATCTACATAATCTTTCTGTCATATCATAAGTTGCCATATGCTCTGCTTAGAGTCATCTGAAACTGACTACAGTGGATCTCTGTCTGTGCGCACTTTGTCAAAAATATGTTCTAGTGTATCTAATTTCAGTGGATGGTGGTTGATGGAAAGCAGGAAGAGGATTCGATTATTGGAAAGACTTCTTAATATCAATCAGATTTCCATTTTTTTATTACACCTTTTATGTGTTGTTCATCCTTTTCTTTTCTTTTTTTTTTGTTCTGGATTTGTTCCTTTCCCCCCGTCGACAATATATTTTACCGCAGACTTTTTGTCCCATAGTTTGTGTTAAAAGTGCTTCTCTGTAGAGGTCGCACTCAGAATTCTATTTTTCACCATTTACAGGATTCTTGCCTAACTTGCACCAGGGCTCCACACCTCCTCTTGGCATATGCACGTGTTTTGAGAGAGACTCGGCCCAGAATCCACCCGTTACTGCGGGGATCAGCGTGCCAGCACATAAAATGTGCCAGTGTTTATTCCTCCAGAATTTGCCTCAAGCATCCTGTGCACACACCAGTTTGATAAACAAAGGGTCAACCAGAGCATATCACTGTTAACCTTCAAATAAATCCAAATAATTGGTTACAAAATAATTGGAGGGTGTGTAACTTGCAGATTGCATGAACTACGAGATATTTGACTTATCCAGTGGAATTCGGCATACATATTCCTTAAAACTGGATGGGCAAAACTTGTAAAGTGAGCAGGCCTGACCTACTGCTCAGGTGAGGATTTTCCTTTGGTCAAACGCTGTGAGGAATAGCCTGTAGAATTACAGACCTAGCACATGCATATGTGGAAAGCAGGTGTCAGGCTGGAGTTTACACATATTGTTCTCTTGTGTGTGCACTTCTACCCCAGAACGGGGACCAGTTCACCATAAAGTGTCCATATACAAAAGTTTACCCATATATCTATGGAATAGATCTGTCCACGAGGAGCCAAAGCAGGATGAGAAACTGGCCCGAGGGCAGTTCAACCTGCAACGTTTTTTTTTTCTCCTCTGCTTAAAATAAGCTGACTCAAAAAGAACTGGTCCACAGAACGTTGCCATGGGTACCACTCATGAACCCCGAAGAGAGAGATCATCATAAATATTCTTATACGGACATGTTTTTCGGACTTTATTGTTTCAGATGCTAAGTGGGTCATTCTGAATATTGGCCGTTCTGCAGATTTATTCAGTGTAAGGGTGACCTCATGCCAGGCAAAATCCTGCCCTCCTAACACCGATCCGCTTGAGTCCTTTAACAGCCACCAGAGTGCGTTTGTAATACAATGCACGTCTGTGCCTTCATTTCCCTCTGCGTAGCCACAAAATGGTGTCACTTATTCCAACCCATCTCTCCGGTTGAGGTCTGCGTTATGGACCGAACAGTGTGCGCCGGACAAGGAAGTCAAGTAGTTGAAAGGAATTCTTTAAAAATGCCCAGATGCATCAGGATCCAGCCGTAATCTATTATTCTAACGCCCACAAGAACACAAAGCACTTTCAGGATGATGCACTCTGCAGATCTCCTGCTTTAGAGTTTATCCGACCAAAAACTGACATAAACCACGTAGAACCTCAAAAGCATATCCCTGCTTAAACCCAGTGAAGGAGGACAGAGAGGACAGAGAAACTCAGAGCGAGTAAACCAGCATAAATCTCACCGTGATCCTCTGCACACACCTTACCCTCGTCAGAGCAACCTGTTCCTATTTACAGCTGAAGTCTTAGCTCTTTCTCTTTTGCAGTAGACCTCTTGTGAGCTTGTCCGGTTTTTCGAGGCTCACGTTTTTGGCTTGATCGTTTTGCCTTCTGCCTGTGTACCTAACTGACATGCTAACCCGACCACTGAAATGTACTGCTGAACCTGTGTTTGCTGCCTGCTGCTAGCTGTGATGTGACATTTGCTAACTTCGACAGATATTTATGGATATTATTTACAAATTCAGTTAATATAATGGTGATAGATATATTTGTGCACCTTGTTTGTGTATTTTGTTTTGTTTTGTAAATCAACCTTACTATATTAAAGACAGTCCATGCAGACCTCTGTTCATTGGTGCGTGAAAGTTTGTGACCCTTTTAAAAATCAGTCCTGTGTGAGTGAGACCTAAAGTGTCAACAGATTGTACAGTGTAGTGGGGAAAAAATAATTATTTTCTCTGTCTTTCACATGTCTGACCTCCCTCTTCTGAGACTTAAGGTGGTGTTGCTGCAGATTAATCCCGACATTAATCCTGCGTTCATGTCTGATTTTGCATATGTAACATAAAAAAAAACTGAATTCATGTGTCAACATGTTAAATACATATTTTTTAGGAGGAGGAGAACCCATAATATCTTTGTTGGTCATATCTCTTGTGAATGCAACATATTTTTATTACTTTAAATCATTCAGTGGCAGAACTATATGTAGTAATCAACTACCCAATCTCTTAAAATCACTAACAGATGTCTGTACATTTTACCTAGAGATAGCTCCTAACACTCAGAGTAAATTGTATCATCAATGACATTGACATCTTGACATGGTAAAACAGGCCCAAATCATGATACTGTCACCACCATACCTTTGCCGTAAAGTAAACCCACAATCCAAAAAGCTCTCAGATAAGTATAAATGAATTAAATTTAATTTTCCAATATCATCCCAGAAGCAAATACCCAGAAAAGTTGATCAGACAATATGTAGAGATATCCTCTATCCACTGGGTGGCAGTGTTTACATTTACTGTTGAGAAAATCATAGAGCCGCTTTGATTTAAGTGAACTATGAAGACTAGGAGGATGTACGGCACATATTTGATTTGAATAATCACACAATTGGACTGTTTCTGCTGAAGGAATGGAATTTGTCTGTGACACCCCATTTGAATGATTATTCTAAAATCCCAATAACTTGGCTTACCTTTGAAGACCAGCTGTAGTATTTTCTTTAGTGGTGTCTTCCACTAAGGGTGGAGGCTGTCCCTGTCTGAGCGTGGAGTGTGTGTGCTGGTGGAGGCAGCAATCTGTGGAGCCCGCTGCTCACACACACCAGCATCTCCTCCGGGGGGGGGATGCACCTACTACAGTACATCTTCCGCTCTGGCTGTCAATAGACTGAGCGTGTCTGGTCCAGCAGGGACACAAGTATGAAGAGGCTGAGGTGGGAATGAGCCGGAAGGCTGGGAGGCTGCACACTCCACAGGAGCATGTGTCAGCCGTACAAAGGTGGAAACAAGGGACATAATCAAATAGTGACATAAAGAAAGTATTTCCAGTAATATTTTCATTTGCACTTTGCGTTGACTCACTTAGAAAACATCACATAGCTCTCAATAACAATTTAGGGGGAAAAAAGACATGTAATGGGGCAAAATATTAAATAATCCTGTAATATTAATGGTGGTAGTTCAACACAGGAAGAAGAAACCGCTGCAAAGTGAAAATAAGATGTCAAAGAATCTTCTCAATATCCCCCTGTTATATAAATAATTCACAGTGACTTAAAGAAATGAATCAAGTGTCTTTGACTTAGAGTTTTTTTTTGTTAGACCGAAAAAAGAAACCGTGTATTCCCACGCATTTAAACAACACAAGCTCTTGTCACGGATGCCACTTCAATACTTCTGAATCACTTCACTCACATTGAAACTTCTGTTCCACTTATTGCCGTGAGCATGAACTGAACTCCTCTTTGGGGGAAAAAAAAAAAGAATAAGAGCAAACGTTAAAAAAAAGCCCACTGATGTGTGATGAAGCTGACTGAGACGAAATGTATTGTGTGACCCCAAACATACTCGATATTCCTCTGGATAATTTACTTTTCACAGTAAATGGACCGTCACTAATGGCTGCTAATATGAGCATCAACAACAATAATTGACGGTAATCACTCCTCAGTCATCTGCAGCTCTTAACAGCTTCTTCGCTCTGATGACAGTCTGTCTACTGTCCTCTGCACTGAGAATCATTCCTCCAACAGAAACGTCATTTTCCCAGACTTTGGATCCCACAGATGTGCGGCAGACCTGATCTATGGCTTTTTAACCACCGCTCCTAACAGATAAAAAGGATAAGAAGTGCATGTGGGCCAGGACCGTCTCTCCCTTTGGCCAAACAGCTGAATCAGCTCAGCGAGTAGCAGAATCATGAATGTGCATGTGACGTTTGACAAACAGTAACCTTCTCTCTTTCTTCAAGGATAGCATCAGGCTGGCTCAGAGTGGTTAGCGTGGCAGTACCTCTGTGACAAAGCCTGCTGAGTCACACGGACGCTCCTGCTGTGGCGACGCGTCATTCAGCCACACATGAGGGGGGCTTGGATTCTTCTCGCTGCCCACTGTAAAAAAATTCCTTTTGTGAGATTACAAAAATTTGATTAAGTCAGAAGGCTGAGAACATTAATCTTCGATTAGTATTCTAACTTGTTATTTTCACTCTCCTTAGGGAAATATTTCCTCAGGTGCAGATCGAACGGTGTGCAATGAGTTTATCAGGCCTTAAATGCAAACCCTTATGATAAAATGTTCAAATTTTAAAAAGGCAGTAAAAAAGAAAAAGAGTAAATGTATATTCTGGTGGGGAACATATGTAAAATAAACTAGATGTCAGATTTTGAACATTAGACAAACCTAAGGAATGTCAAAGTCATCCATGAACCTGCTAGAAGAAGATTGCGCCGAACTTTTGTGGCATTACGAACTGTAAACCGGGCTGTTGCAAATTCATTCATTTATCGTAGAAGTAAAAAAAAAAAGTGAGTTTAAAGTGACTGATATTTAAACTGTAACAAGAGAAAAGAGGAATGTTAGATTGCAGATGAATGAAGAAGCTCATTTAGTAAAAGTCAAGAGATCATTCTGAGATTTTCTTCTTACCCATATGTGTCTAAAGGGTCGAGTGAAAGTGAGAGACAGAGGAAAGACTCTTTTTTAACAAGAAAGAATTTTAAAGCTACATTCTTATAAGCTCCTATCAAGACTTTTCTGAGGGACTCCTTTGCTGTGACTTAATTATTCATTCAGAACTGCTATGCATAATGAAGGGATTCTTGTACATTTTTGAAGGTTACCACTGTCAGAAATTCAGCTGGCAGCAACAGAGTCAAGTTCTTAAGTTTGAGGTAATTGTCGCTCTTGAGTTAGTCAGATTTATAAAAGATGGTGTGTTGCTGGAAGCCAATCCCGAATTACATTCTCAAATCTGAATATTCGAAGGACACTATGCATTGAAAAAGATCCTATGTGACATAGTTTTTATTGTCTGAGGTTGTTTGATGCACGCTGAATACAGATTATGGACCACTGCAACTGTTCTTCCCCCAACACGCTTGAACAATGTTCCAAGTGGCTGCCACCACCACTCACAGGATTAAGAGCATCCATCCATTATCTACTACTTATGGAGGTAATGGGCCCTTTGGGAAACCCAGTAGTTCCTCTCACCAGCACCACTCTCTTGCTCTTCCTGATTGACCCGGCTATGCCTCTTGGGGAAGTGTGATATGAACTTCTATATAAATTTCACAAACATTAAAAAGATAAACTTTATTCCTTTAAAGTTTTTTCAGCTAACCAACAAATAAAAGTATACCTAAAGGAGTGTCAATACACATTTTTCCCCATCAAATGTAAAACCTATGCTAATAGCTTAGAAGTCTAACATGAAATATTCAAATCCTCGTTTCCAACTCTGCTATTTAGTACTCTTGTGGCTTAATTTTTATACTTTTGTTTAAGATAAACACGTTTCTTTCGAGATATGTTAGTATGGTCAACAGCTGTATGCAACAGATAGGTTTTCAAGCCACTGAAACAGTAGCAACCACACCCGGGGCTGCGTTCTTGCTACTCTTTGGCTAAAAGTGAGCGTAGCCCACGGGTCACATGTCCGATGACATCACATGCACTCCTTCCATTTCGAGCAACCGGTCTTGAGTCTTTCAAGTGACAACCACAGGAAGACAAACAATGTTAAAGAAAACTTTCTTTCCCCCTCCCAGCTGTTTCGGGGGAATAGATTTGCTCGACTTTAAAGGGATCTGTTGAAACATAGAGCACTCACAAGCACACTCGCTTTCCTGTGTCAGAACTAGAGCCGTCTCCCCGTCAAATTAGGTCCCGTCTCTGAGGAGTCTGGGTTATGTTGTAAGCCACATCAATAAGTGTGATGATTATTCTTGTCCAGTCATGCTTGCTCAGACATGGATTCATCTTTGCCGTAAGTGTCGGTTTGAATGACTGTCAATTTGTGGCAGGATCCTTTCTGCTTTATTCCCCCCTTTTTTTTCTCGGTAACCCATCTCCATTTATATCGTTACCCTTCAGATATCAATCTCCGTCTCCCCAAGCTCAGCTCATCTCATCATTTTTTTCGTTTCCCCGGCCTCTCTTGCCTCACACTTGTCACCTGTCCCCCCCCCCCAGAACATAATCTTCTTCCTTTCCCTCTCTTGCCTGACAGCCTTCCTTTTCATCCCTTCATCGTAATTCACTCTTTCTCAGCATTCTTGATTACCTAGAGAGTTTTTTTGCTTGACTGCACCTTCCCTCCCCCTTCAAGCCTCCTCACATTTCAATCTCCTCCTCATCCAGCTTTCAATCATTTTCCATCTTCCATTTTGTTTCCGGCTGTAATGCCCATCGACTTGTCAGCTGTTGTGCTATGTTATTTAAAAGAGGGGTTGGAAATAGCCTCATGCAAAGAATGATAATTTAAACCACAGATTTTCAGAAAATGTTGGTCTTTTTTTTTAGTTCTCAGGGATTTATTCTCCCACATGACAATGCGTCACTGTGTTTTCTCCCCTCTCATTCCTCTGGAAACTGATCTACCTTTCTCCATTTCCACCTTTCTCTATTTCTACATCCCAGGTTGTCATCTCCCAGCAGAGGCAGCCAGCTAGAGGGAACCCACCAGCTGGCCCGGTCAAAGTTTTCGAATCGCTGAGGTCGACAGCATCTGTGCGCTGCTTGTCTGTGTCAGGATGCGTGTCATGTCCTTGCATAAATATATGGACACATGTAAATTTTTTCTGGAGACCCTCTGGCACGTTGCTCACCGTTTAACGCCCTTCATTCGTCCCATGAGGAAGATGTGCGTGCACGGCAGAGGTCACATCTGTGCTTACATTTCTAAGACTTCTACGAGGCTGGACTCAGTTACGGGTCAACTTTTGGCTGTTGTTAAAGCACTTTAAGAAATACCTAACCTCGATGTTAAAATCAGGAGTTAGCCGGTAAGCCTTAAAACCCCAAATATTCTTACGATGGACAGGGTTCTTAGGATGTAGCAATTTCATGGGCAAAGGAAAAATAATGAGCCAATACCACAATGACACAAACACTCACAAAGCATTGTTACGGCTGTCTTTTTTGACACGGGTA